CCATACACCCCACACACTCCATACACCCCACACACTCCATACACCCCACACACCCCATACACCCCACACACCCCACACACCCCACACACCCCACACACCCCATACACCCCACACACCCCAGACGCCTCACACGCCTCACACGCCCCACACACCCCATAAAATGCCCCAAGCTCTGTGTGGGGTGTGCAGGGAGATCCCTGAGCACAAACCGACCCCACCCACCCAGTTCCAAACACGATCGATTTTACACAGAACCCAGAGACCCCCTTGGCCAAAGGACACACAATGGGTTTAATAGGAGTATTTAATGTGACTTTAATACACATGTTTGTGTTCAATACGTGTATTTAATGTGTATTTAAATACACATATCTAACTGTGTTTAATACATGTATTTAATGAGTATTTTAATACATGTATTTAACTGTGTTTAATACACATATCTAACATAGAATTTAATACATATGTTTAACTATGTTTAATATGTGTATTTAACATAGAATTTAATATATATGTTTAACTGAGTTTAATATGTATAACATGTATTTTAATACACATGTTTAACTGTGTTTAATACACGTATTTCACATTATTTTATTATATGTGTTTAACTGTGTTTAATACGTGTATTTAACATTATTTTAACACATATATTTAACTATGTTTAATACATATATTTAACGGGTATTTTAATACGTATGTTTAACCATATGTAAACCATACTCTCGTATTTCTACACAGATATATATATATATATATATTTATATATATGTTTCATATTATGTTTCATATTACTTCACCTAATTTTATTCATGTATTTATAAATTTATATATTTTGATATTTATATTCCATATAACATAATTTTATTTATATATCTGTATATTTCTATATTTTTATATTTACATATAATATATTTAAATATATTTATGATAATATATATTTTCATATGTGTATATTAATATGTTAATACATGATACTACTTAACATAATTTTATTTTTATATATATTTGCATATTTATATATTTATAAAAATACATTTATATATTTATATTTATGTATACATATGTATTTCTTTATGTCTATATTTATATTCCGTATAACTTAACATAATTATATTTTTATATATATATATGTATACATACATGTATATATTTAAATATATTTATGATTCTATATATGTATATTTGTATATTTATATATAATATTACTTAACAAAATATTATTAATATATGTATGTCTATTTGTATATATGTACATTTATATATTTATATAAATGTATATATTTATATTAAATACTTTTAAATATTTATGAATATTTTATCATATATTTGTGTAAATATATAAAAATATCATATTACTTAAACTAATTTTATTAATATATTTATGTATATTTGTATGTTTATATATTTCTGTAGATGTATATATGTGTAAATAAATCTATTTTTATATTTATATATGTACTTATATTTCTATATATTTGTATTTATAGATTAGTATATTTACAAATGGCATTTCTGTATTTATAAATGGACGCATATATTTTGAAACGTTTTTTATATAGTTATCTATGGTATGGTGGGCAGTGGTCCAAGTACAATTTTTAATCTTATTTTTAAAATTTAATTTAATTTTATTTATCTTATTTTATATTTGATTTATTTTATTTCATTTTATTTTATTTTATGTTATGTTATGTTATTTTTTGTTATTTTATGTTATTTTATTTTTAAAATAAATTATTAATCCCAGGGGTTTTTTTTGCCTCAAAACTTCTTATCTCTTTTTTTTGTTGTTGTTTATCAAACAACTTATCTCTTTTTTCCCTTTTAAAATCACTTGTTCCATGTTTTTGGCCTTTGAAAATACTTTTCCTTGGTTTCTTTGTTTTGTTTGTTTGTTTTTTGATGATGTTGGCTTATATCACTTAACTCGTTGTCTTAGGGGCTTTAAAACCATTTATCTTTTTTTTTTTTTTTTCTTTTTGCTTTAAAAATCATTTATCCTGCTGAATTTTTGGATTTTTTTTTTTTTGAGGGCTATTGGGTTGGGTTTGGTTTGGTTCTTTTTTGCTTTTAAAATCACTCATCCTCTTTTCTGATATTTTAAAACCCACTTATGGACCTATTCTGGGTATTTTTGCATTTAAAATCACTCATCCCGTTTTTGGGGAGTTTTAAACTCAGTTATCCCAAGCTGAGAGCTTTAAGACCATTTATCCACTTTTTAGCTTTTGAAATTACTGATCCTCTTTTCGGAGGGGCTTTAAAACCCTCTCATCCCATTTCTGAGGCTCTTCAAACCATTGAACCCAATTTCTGAGGCTTTCAGAACTGCCCATCCCGGGTCTGGAGCCTTTTAAAACAAATCCTCAAACCAGATTTTTTTGGTTTTTATATCACTTACCCTGGGGTCTTTTTGCTTTTAAAAACTCTCCTCCCATTTTCAAAGCCTTTAAAGCCCCTTGAACCACTCAAACTGGATTTTTGGTGTGTGTTTTTTTGTTTGTTTTGGTTTTGGGATTTGTTTTGTTTTGTTTTGTTTTTTCCTTTCAAAGCCACTTATTCTGGGTTTCTGGAGCCTCTTGGAATTGCTCATACCCTTTATTACAATGTTTTGCATTTAAAACAAATTATTGCATTTTTGGGGAACTCTTAGCAGCAGTTGTCCCTCGGGTTTGGCCTTAGGAGTGATTTATCCTGAGTTTTGGGGACACTTTTCCCAATTTTGGGGCCTTTTAAAACCACTCTTCCCAGTTTTGTGGCTTTGAATTCACTTACCCTGTTTACTTTTTTGGCTTTTAAAATTATTTATTCCTTTTTGGGGGGAGGATGTGTGTTAAACGACTTCCCCCATTTTGCGGGGTTTTTAAACCACTCGTTCCTTTTTTGTTTTGCTTTAAAAGCACTTTTTATTTCCTTTCTCTTTTTCTTTCCTTTCTCTTTTCTTTCCTTTCTCTTTTTTTCCTTTTCTCCTCTCCTCTCCTTTCTCCAATTCTGGGGGCCTTTTAAGAAGACATCACCATTTTGGAGGCTTTTACATTGTTTGGCTTTTAAAATTGCCCATCCTGAAGGTTTCTTTTGCTTTTGAAATAATTTATTTATTTTCCTCTTCACTTTTAAAATCGCTTTTCCCATTTTTGAGACTCTCAAAACCAATTATCCTTTTTTGTTTGCTTGTTTTATAAATAATATATCCTAGGAATTTTTTTGGCTTTAAAACCACTTATCTCACTTTTTTGGGTTTATTAAACCAATTACTTCTTCTCTTTTTTTTTTCTATTTTTTTGTCCTTTTTTTCAATCACTTGTCACTTTTGTTCTTTTGGCTTTAATAAAATAATCTCCTGTATTGATTTTTCCCCCCCCAGTCTTTTAAAACCACTTATACTGTGGTGTTTGTGAGGGTTCCCAGGACGAGGTGAGAGATAAGAATTTAACTCCATGTTTTTTAAAAAATTGATTTTTTATGTACTTCTATTAAAAAATACTATACTAAAACGATACTAGAAAAAAATATATTAAAAAACTTGGCAAGAATGAAAAATAAAACCCCATAACTGACTCAGGGAGTCAGACACAGCTGGCTGTAATTGGCCATTAAAAAACCCAATTCACATAAAAATAATCAAACATTCACCTGTTAATGAACAATCTCCAAAGCACATTCCAGAGCAGTAAACACAGGAGCAAACAATCAAATAATTCTTGTTTTCATTCCTCTCTGAGGCTTCTCAGCTTCCCAAGAAAGAAAAATTTATATTAAAAAAAATTTCAGAAAATATCATAACAACATTATACTATTATTTCGAGGCTTTAAAACCTTTTATTCTCCCTTTTTTGGCTTTAAAAATGACTTATCCCAGTGGCTTTTTTTTTTTTTTTAATGGCTTCTCAAACCCTTTGTCCTATTTTTTAGGACTTTAAAATCCACTTATCCTGGGTTTTGGGGCTTTTGAAACCACTCAGGCCATTTTTTGTGCTCTTTGAAAACCTCTTATCCCACTTTTTTTGCAGCTTCAAAACCCACTTATCTTTTTTTCTTTTATTTTTATTTTAAATTTTTTTTCCTTTTAAAACCACTCACCACAACTTTGGGGCTTTTAAAACCTTATCCCCTTTCCGGCAGCATCTTAAAATCACTTCTCTTTTTTTTTTTTTTCCCTGTTTAAAAATCACTTACCTTGGGACTTTTTTGGCGATTTCCAGCCACTCATTCCAGTTTTGGGGCTTTTTCAGGCACTCACTCCATTTCCAGGGCGGTCTAAAATCACTTACCCCTTTCTTTGCGTTTAAAATGATTTATGATGGGGTTTTTTTGGCTGTTCAAACCACCCATCCCACTCTGGGGGTATCGAAAACCCTAAACCCCATTTTTGGGGCTTTTCAGAGGATTTTCCTGGGGTTTCAATTGTTTGTAAAAGCACTTTGCCTCTTTTTCCTTTTTTTTTTTTTTTTTTTCTTTTAAAATGTCTTATCCCATTTTATTTTGCTTTTAAAACCACTTACCGCGGAGTTTTGGGTTTGTTACAGCCGCCGACGCCTCCTTTGTGCCTTTTTCACCCAATTTCCCTTTTCGGGGTTTTTAACCCCTTCACCCCGGGTTCGGAGGGAGGGGCGGTGGATGCGTTGCCATGGGAACGGGATGCAGCCGTGGAGTTTTTTGGGGGGGGGGGGGGGGGTGTCCAAGACCCCTTTCCATGCGGATCCGGGGGTCGGCGCCCCGTTCCCATGGCGACGGGCGGGCCGGGGACGCGTTGCCATGGGGACGGGATGCGGCCGTGGGATGGAGGCCGCGGGTCCGTTTCCCTGCGGGTTTTTTTGGGGGTGGGGGCGTCGGGGGCGCTGCTGGGAGCCCGAGGGGCTCCGGGGGGGGGCTCGGAGCGCCCCCGGCCCGCCCCACACCCCGCGGCTCCCGCGGCATCTCCCGGAATTCGATCGCTCCGAGCGGGGGGACAACGACCGGGCGGCCCCGGTGATCATTAACCCGCGGAGGGCGGGGCCGGACCGGGGTCGGTACCGGGGGTCCCTCCCGCGCCCCCCCGGCGATGCGGCGGAGAGAGCGAAGGTGCGGATTGGGGGTGCGGGGGACACAGCCCTGCAGGGACAGCGGGGACAGCGGGGACAGCGGGGACACGGCCCTGCCGGTGGCCTTGACCCCGGGCCGGCTCGGGGGGCGGGGAGGGGGTGGGGAGGGGGCGTCAGTGCCCCTGGGGGCGGGGAGGGGGGGTCAGTGCCCCAGAGGGGGGGACAGAGCCGCAGGGCTCGGCACAGAGCGGCAGCGCTGCTCGCACGGGGCGGCAGAGCCAGCGCGGGTGAGTGGGGGGCGCGGGGGGCTCCCTAAGGTGGGGGGGCCCCGACATTGGGGGTTCAGCAGCCGCAATGAGAGGGGGTTTGGGGGTGCTGAGGGGCTCCGGGCTGGGGGGAGGTTTTTTGAAGTCACCCCATGGTGTCCTCAGTTCCCCCGGGGTCACCCCATAGTGCGCCGTTTTTCGGGGTTCACTCCATGGTATCCTCAGGTTTTTGGGAGTCACTCCATGGTGTCCCCAGTTTTTTGAGGGTCACCCCATGGTGTCCCCATTTTTTGGGGGGGGTCACCCCAAGGTGTCCCCATTTCCCCTGGGGACATCCCACGGTGTCCCCAGTTTTTCGGGGATCATCCCATAGTGTCCTCAGTTTTTTGGGAGTCACCCTATGGTGTCCCAGTTTTTCGGGTGTCACCCCATGACGTCCCCAGTTTCTCGGGGTTCACCCCACGGTGTCCCCATTTCCCCATGGGACATCCATGGTGTCTCTGGTTTCCCTGGGGGTCACCCCAGGGCCCGCCTGTTTTTTCTGGGAGCTCTGCTCCTCCCCGCGGTGGTTCCAGTTGTGCTGGGGATCCCGCCTTGGCCCCCCCGGTTCTCCTGGGGGTCACCCCGCGGTCTCCCCGCTTTGCTGGGATCGCGGCACTGCTGGAGCGGGGGCGATGTGCTGACCGGCGCTGACCCCTGTCCCCGTGTCCCCAGGATGTGGCTGCCGGGGCTCCCCTGGGCTCTGGCCCTGCTGCTCACCGCGGCCGCCTCCGGCCCCTCGGCGGAGCCCGCGGACCCCGCGTCCATCTTCGCCGACCTGTCCCCGGCGGAGCTGCGGGCCGTGCGCGCCTTCCTGATGGAGCGGCCGGAGCTGGGGCTGTCCCCGAGCCGGGGGGGCCCCCTGGCCAAGAACTCGCTGTTCCTGGTGGAGCTGCTGCCGCCGCCCAAGCGCTCGGCGCTGCGCTTCCTGGAGCACGGCGGGGCGCGCCCGCGGCGCGAGGCCCGGGCCGTCATCTTCTTCGGGGCGCAGGCGGAGCCCAACGTGACCGAGCTGGCCGTGGGGCCGCTGCCGCGCCCCGCCTCCTACCGGGCGCTGCCGCCGCGGGGCGGCCGGGCCGTGCCCTTCTGGGCGCGCCCCATGACCCGCCTGGAGTACGAGCTGCTGCACCGGGCGCTGGTGGCCGCGCTGGCCCCGCTGGAGCCGCTGCTGCGCGAGGCCACCGGCTTCGGCTTCCAGAACTGCTCGGAGCGCTGCCTGACCTTCTCGGATGTGGCCCCGCGCGGGCTGGGCCCCGGCGAGCGCCGCACGTGGCTGGTGATCCAGCGCTTCGTCGAGGGCTTCTTCCTGCACCCCGCGGGGCTGGAGGTGCTGCTGGACCACCGGGACCGCGACCCGCGGCGCTGGGCCGTGCTGCGGCTCTGGTACAACGGGCGCTACTTCGGCAGCGTGCGGGAGCTGGCCGAGAGCCACGCGCGGGGCGCGCTGCCCCTGGCCCGCCTGCCCGAGCCCCCCGCCCGCCAGCTCTTCTCCAGCTACGAGCCCCGCGGGCGCTTCTCCGCCGGGACGCCCACGGACGCGCACGGCGCCAAGGTGTGCGAGCCGCAGGGCCGGCGCTACCGCCTGCGCGGCAACCGGCTGGAGTACGGCGGCTGGAGCCTGGCCTTCCGCCTGCGCTCCTCGGCCGGCCTGCAGCTCTTCGACGTGCGCTTCGACGGCGAGCGCGTGGCCTACGAGCTGAGCGTGCAGGAGGCCGTCGCCTTCTACGGCGGCCACTCGCCCGCCGCCATGCAGACCAAGTACATGGACGCGGGCTGGGCCATGGGCGCCTCCAGCTACGAGCTGGCCCGCGGCGTGGACTGCCCCGAGACCGCGGCCTTCCTGGACGCCCACCACCTGCTGGACGCCGACGGGCCCGTGCGCTTCCGCCGCGCCCTGTGCGTGTTCGAGCTGCCCACGGGCGTGCCCCTGCGCCGCCACTTCGACAGCGACTTCCAGGGCGGCTTCCACTTCTACGCGGGGCTGGAGGGGCGGGCGCTGGTGCTCAGGACCACCTCCACCGTCTACAACTACGACTACATCTGGGACTTCCTGCTCTACCCCAACGGCGTGCTGGAGAGCAAGGTGCACGCCACCGGCTACATCCACGCCACCTTCTACACGCCCGAGGGCCGGCGCTACGGCAGCCGCGTGCACAGCCACCTCCTGGGCAACGTCCACACGCACCTGGTGCACTACAAGGTGGACCTGGATGTCGCAGGTGAAGGCTCCCGGCGGCCCCTGGCCGTGGGAGGGTGATGGGAGAGGGCTGGACCCGCGGGGGGCTCCGGGGGCTCGGGTGCTTTGTTTCTGGAAGGGTGGTGTCACCTGGGTGTCACCCGCACCCCGAGATGGTGATCCCCTCCATGGTGGCATCTCTGCAGGGTCACACCCCTCCACGGTGGTGGGATCTCCCAGCCCTGGTGACATCTGGGGGGCTTCAGCCCTCTATGGCGTCTCTGCAGGGTCCCAGCCCCTCATGGGTGGTGGCATCTGCGTGGGGTCCCAGCCCCTCATGGGTGGTGGCATCTGCCTGGGGTCCCAGCCCCTCATGGGTGGTGGCATCTGCGTGGGGTCCCAGCCCCTCATGGTGGCATCTCTGTGGAGTCCCAGTCCCCCAGGGTGATATTTCCCGGGCCACATCCACGGTAGCATCTCCTGGTGCCTCAGTCCCTTGTGGTGGTGGTGGTGGTGGTGGCATCTCCAAGGTGTCTCCAGCCCACCATGGTGGCATCTCCAAGGTGTCCCCAGCCCACCATGGTGGCATCTCCTCAAAGGCCCTCCTCTCCATGCTGGTGTACCAAACTGGACCCCAACCCACCACGATGGCTTGGTTGTGGGGTCACAGCCTTCCATGGGGGTGGCATCTCAGCCCTCCATGTTGGTATCTCCATGAGGTCCCTATCCATGTCCATGGTGTCCCCCCTGATGTGTCCCACCCCTCCATGGTGACATGCCTGCTGTGTCCCACCATGGTGACACCTTGGCAGTGTCCCATCCCTCCATGGTGTCACCCCTGATGTGTCCCATTCCTCCACGGTGACACGCCTGTGGTGTCCCATCCCTCCATGGTGTCACCCCTGATGTGTCCCATTCCTCCACGGTGACACCCCTGTGGTGTCCCATCCCCCCATGGTGACATCCCTGCAGTGTCCCACCACGGTGACACCTTGGCAGTGTCCCATCCCTCCATGGTGTCACTCCTGCTGTGTCCCACCACGATGACACCTTGGCAGTGTCCCATCCCTCCATGGTGTCACCCCTCATGTGTCCCACCACGCTGACACCTCGGCGGTCCCACCCTCACCCCGGGTCGGGGCCGTGCCGCCGTGTCCCCCGCACCGACGCGCGGTCCCCGCAGGCTCCGGGAACAGCTTCGAGACGATGGACATCCGCTTCGAGAACATCTCGAGCCCCTGGAGCGCGGGCGCGCGCGTGGTGCAGCCGTGGCTGCACCGGGAGCCGCGGCGGCGGGAGCGCGAGGCCGCGCTGCCGCTGCACCGGCCCGCGCCGCGCTACCTGCTCTTCTCCAACCCGCGCCGGCGGAACCGCTGGGGCCACCGCCGCACCTTCCGCCTGCAGCTCAGCTCGCACGCCGGGCCCGTGCTGCCCCGCGGCTGGCAGGAGGAGCGCGGCGTCACCTGGGCCAGGTGAATGGGGGTGCGGTGCCACCAGGGTGTCACCTGCGGGGGCGCGGGGTCCCTGCCCTGGGCACACCGTCCTGGGGTGGCGCCTCGCCCTGCTGGCACCTCCCCGTGCTGCGCTGGAGATGGAGGGGGTTCCTGGGAGCTGGGGAACATCCAGAGCTGGGAGATCCTCCGGAGCAGCCCATGGGAGTTTGGGAAACTTCAGGGCTGAGGGAGCTGTTTGAGCTGGGGAACCCCTTTGGGAATTCGGGACACCCCGAGGCTGAGGGAGCTGTCAGAGATGGGGAACCCCTTTGGGAATTCGGGACACCCCAGGGCTGAGGGGGCTGTCAGAGATGGGGAACCCCTTTGGGAATTCGGGACACCCCAGGGCTGAGGGGGCTGTCAGAGATGGGGAACCCCTTTGGGAATTCGGGACACCCCGAGGCTGAGGGAGCTGTCAGAGATGGGGAACCCCTTTGGGGATTCGGGACACCCCAGGGCTGAGGGGGCTGTTGGAGCTGGGGAACCCCTTTGGGAATTCGGGACACCCTGGGGCTGAGGGAGCTGCTGGAGCTGGAGCAGCCCATGGCGGTTTGGGACACCGAGGGCTGAGGGGGCTGTCGGAGCTGGAGAACCCCCATGGGGGTTTGGGACACCCGGGGCTGTCGGAGCTGGAGAAACCCTGGAAGCCGAAGAGTCTCCAGGAGCTGTAAAACACCCTGAGAGATGAGGAAGCCCTGGAAATTGGAACCCCTCGAGATCTGGGGATCCTCGAGGATTGGGAAGGCCCTCAGGAGCTGGGGAGTCCCTCTGGGGACCTGGGGAGTCCCCCTGGACGTGGGGAACCCCTCAGGAGCTGAGGAGAGCACAAAGCTGGGGACCCCCGTGCCCCTTGCCAGCCCTGTGGGTGGCACCGGGAAGGGACCAGGGCAGGGGCGGGACAGGAACCCCCCGCCCCCAGGCTGACCCCACCCCTCACCTGCGGCAGGTACCACCTGGCCGTGACACGGCGCCACGAGAACGAGCCCAGCAGCAGCAGCATCTACACCCAGAACAACCCCTGGGACCCGCCGGTCACCTTCGAGAGCTTCATCCGTGACAACGAGACCATCGAGGACCAGGTGACACGCGGGGGGACCCTGGGCACGCGGGGCTGGTGGCTGCTGGGGGGTTCCATCCCCAGAGCGGGCCCATCTCCGGGGGTTCCCCAGCTCCCAGGGTCACCCCAGCTCCCACGGGGCACCCACGGTGCCGCTGACACCGCGCTGTGTCCCCCCCGTCCCCCCAGGACCTGGTGGCCTGGGTGACCGTGGGCTTCCTGCACGTGCCCCACGCCGAGGACATCCCCAACACGGCCACCCCCGGCAACGCCGTCGGCTTCTTCCTGCGCCCCTTCAACTTCTTCGGCGAGGACCCGTCGGTGGCGTCGCGGGCGCCGGTGATCGTGCGGCCCCTGGACCCGCCCGCCTGCTCCCGCCTGCACATCCAGCGCTGGACCCCGGCCAGCCCCGGGCCCTGCGTGGACCCCGAGCCCTTCACCTACAACGGCACCTACCGCGAGGTGTGACAGGACAGGGACAGGGGACACCGGCCAGCCCCGAGCCCTGTGTGCACCCCGGGCCCTTCACCTACAATGGCACCTACCGCGAGGTGTGACAGGACAGGGACACCGGCCAGCCCCGGGCCCTGTGTGCACCCTGAGCCCTTCACCCACAACGGCACCTACCGCGAGGTGGGACAGGGACAGGGACAGGGGACACCGGCAGGGCCGGGCCGTGCGCCGCAGGACAGAGGCGGCACAGGCGGTGTCACCTCCCCAGCCCCGGCACCACGGGGACGCGGTGCCACCGGGGCGTGGGACATGTCACACCGTGTCACACGCTGCCACGGGCCAGGCCCAGCACAGGCGGTGTCACCTCCTCTGGCCCCGGAACCGTGTGGCACCCGAGGGACACTGGGACACTGCGGTGCGGGATGTGTCACACTGTGCCACCTGTCAGGATCAGTAAAGGCCATGCCAACCTTTCCACCACCATGCGGGTCATTGGTGCCACCAGGACACCGGGCTTTGGGACACTGCACAGCGTCACACACAATGTCACAGTGTCACACAGTGCCAGTAAAGGCAATGTCACCTCCTCTGTTGGCACTGGCACCATGAGGACACTGGTGCCACCAGGACACCATGGCACAGCTCACGTCACATTGTGACATATGGTACCCTCCACTGGGCCCAGTAAAGGTGATGCCACCCCTTCTGCCACCACAGTGTCACAGGGACGCCACGGTGTGGGACATGTCACACGATGCCGTGTGCTGGGCTCAGTAAAGGTGATGTCACCTCCCCTGTCCCCGTGTCTCTGCCAGTGCTGTGGCCCAACCCGTCCCCAGTGTCACAGCGTTCAACCACGGTGACACCCGAGGCCACTGTCCCTCCCGCCAGCCCGCAGGAGGTGACACACAGAGCCGGGGGTCTCTGTCTGGTTTATTGGGGGCACCTACGCGGGGGTGACATGCAGGGGTGACACGGGACAAACACAGCACACGCTACGGGGCGGCCGGGCCATGCGGCCCCTGAGCCCTGCGTCCCCTCCCTGGGAGGGGTGACACTGCCGTGTGTCCCCTCGCTGTGCGGGGTGACACTGCCGTGTGTCCTCTCCCTATGCGGGGGTGACACTGCCATGTGTCCCCTCCCTGTGCGGGGTGACACTGCCGTGTGTCCCCTCGCTGTGAGGGGGTGACACTGCCGTGTGTCCCCTCGCTGTGCGGGGTGACACTGCCGTGTGTCCCCTCCCTATGCGGGGGGGGTGACACTGCCGTGTGTCCCCTCGCTGTGCGGGGTGACACTGCCGTGTGTCCCCTCCCTATGCGGGGGGGTGACACTGCCGTGTGTCCCCTCGCTGTGCGGGGTGACACTGCCGTGTGTCCCCTCCCTATGCGGGGGGGGTGACACTGCCGTGTGTCCCCTCGCTGTGCAGGGTGGGGGCTCGGGGACGCACGGCCCGGCCGGACGGGGGTGGGGGGCACACGGAGGGTCCCGACCCTCCCTCAGCCGGGCCGTCCCTGGGGACACGGGGGGCACACACGGAGCCACCGGGCCCCGCAGCCACCGGGGGGACACGGCGGGGACACGGGGGCACACACACACACACACACACACACACACGGACGGGGGGGCAACACGCGTGTCCCAGCGCAGCGGGACCCCCCCAACACACGCGTGACATCCTGGGACAGGAGCCGGGGACACAACTGTGCACACCTGTACACGCACACACCTGTGCACGCCTGTGCACACACACACCTGTGCACGCACACACCTGTGCACGCCTGTGCACACACACACCTGTGCACACCTGTGCACGCACACACTTGTGCACACCTGTGCACACACACACCTGTGCACACCTGTGCACGCACACACCTGTGCACGCCTGTGCACACACACACCTGTTCACGCACACACCTGTGCACGCCTGTGCACACACACACCTGTGCACACCTGTGCACGCACACACTTGTGCACGCCTGTGCACACACACACCTGTGCACGCACACACCTGTGCACCCCCCCGCCGCCCCGGGGCTCGGGGAGCAGCACGAGGAGGAGGAGGAGGAGGAGGAAGAGCAGCACAGTCTGACAGCCCGGGGCAGGGCCCGGGTGAGGCGGGGATCGGGGGGGTCCCCGAGCTCCCCCCCGGCCGCCGGTACCGAGGGCAGTGTCCGTGGGGCCGGAGCCCCGGTGGGCCGGGCCCGGGAGGGCTCTGGGCACCCTGGGCTGGGGGCTCTGTGTGCCCCCATTGCGGGCTCAGGGGTCCCAGGGCTGGGGGCTCTGTGTGCCCCCATTGCGGGCTCAGGGGTCCCAGGGCTGGGGGCTCTGTGTGCCCCCATTGCGGGCTCAGGGGTCCCAGGGCTGGGGGCTCTGTGTGCCCCCATTGCGGGCTCAGGGGTCCCAGGGCTGGGGGCTCTGTGTGCCCCCATTGCGGGCTCAGGGGTCCCAGGGCTGGGGGCTCTGTGTGCCCCCATTGCGGGCTCAGGGGTCCCAGGGCTCTGCACGTCCCACGGCCTGGGCTCTGGGGGTCCCACATGCTGGGGACAGGGGTCCTGTGGCTCCGGGGGTCCCACGTTCCGGGGCTGGGGGTCCCAGGGCTCCGGGGGTCCCGGGCGGAGGCGTCCTGGGCTCTGGAGGTCCGGGGGTCCGGGGGTCCCCCGTCCTGGGCTCGGGGGTCGCACACTCCGGGGCTCCGGGGGTCCCCCGTTCTGGGCTCGGGGGTCGCACACTCCGGGGCTCCGGGGGTCCCCCGTTCTGGGCTCGGGGGTCGCACACTCCGGGGCCGGGGTCCCCCGTCCCGGGCTCGGGGGTCCCGTCTCTCGCGCTCTGGGGGCTCCAGGGCTGCCCCGCCCTGGGCTCCGGGGGCCGCGGGGGTCCCGTGGCTCGGGGGTCCCGCCGCGCCCCGTCGCTCCCATTAGCTGCCGGGGTCGGAGCAGTGTCTCTGCAGCGGGGGCGTGCCCGGGGGGGTCCCCGCGGGCGGGGGCAGCGCCCCGGGCAGGGAGCGGCGCCGCGGGGGGGGCGGCTCCAGCAGCAGCACCACGTCCGGGGGGTCGGGGGCGCGCGGGGGGCGCGGGACCTGCGGAACGGGCGAGGGGTCAGTGGCGGGGGGGGGGACACCGGCACGGGGGGGGGCTCGGGGTGCGCCCCCCTCCCAATACCGGGGGCAGGGGGACACAGGAGAGCGGCACCCCCAGGCCGGGGGGCTCCGGGGTGACCCCAGCCCCCAGAGCGGGACAGTGGAGCCCCCCCCAGCCCAGGTGTGCCCCCGGTGCCTCACCTGAGCGAGCGGGCGGATGGGGGTGATGGGCAGGGTGGGGGGCAGCGGCCCCGGGGGGGGCTGGTGCGGGGAGGTCACGGCGCTGTAGGCGGGGGGCACCAGCACCTGGCGCTGCAGCAGGTGCACGATGGACGAGATGTCCGAGCTCAGCCGCGACTCCAGCCTGCGGGACGGCGGGGTGAGAGGGGAGAGCCCCAGCCCATCCTTCCCATTGTCCCCACGACCCCCAGCCCATCCCTCCCCTCGCCCTCAGCACCCCCGGCATCCCCAGCCCATCCCGCCCCTGCCCTCAGGACCCCCAGCACTGCCCCTGTCCCACCCCTCTCTCAGCTGGCTCGGGGGGCTCAGCTTGGCCTGGGGGTCTCCCCTTCTTTTCCTGCTCGTGGTTCTCCAGATCCCTTTGGCCATGGGGGCGCTCCCAGAGGTCCCAGCGGCCCCCCTCGGGTGCCCCCCGACCCCCCGATTTACCTGTTGAGCTGTTTCTGCAGCAGGTCCAGGCGGGATTCCAGGTCGGAGCGCTGGCGGCGGGTCAGGGTCGGGGTGGGGTTTGGGGGGCCCCCGTGGGAACAGCGGGGCAGCTCCTGGTACTGGCGGCCCCGGGCGTCACCCCAAAAACTGAAGATGTTGGAGACCCCCGAGAAGGCGCCTGGAACAGGAGGGGGGGCGAACGGGTTTGGAGGGTGGGGAAATGAGGGGGGAGGTTTGGGGGTCCAGGGGCCTGGGGGAGGGGTGGGGAGAGGGGGCTGGGGCTTTTGGGGGGGCTTCATAGCCTTAAACAGGGAGGGGAAGATTGGGACCCCCTGCCCAACCAGAGACCCCCATCCCCACCTGAGGGGGTGCAGGGGCACTGGGGGGGCGGGCTGAGAATGGAGGGGGGGGATTAAAGGTTTGGGGGGCAGCTCTGGAACCCTGAGTGAGGGGAGCAGGAGAGGGGAACCCCCACCCCACCCCAACTTTCACCCGGAGGGCTCCCGGGGTGCGGGGGCGGTGTGAGAGGGGGGTCAGGGCTGGGTGTGCTGCAGCTTTGGGGGGTCTGCAGGACCCCGAGCGGGCAGGGAAGGAATGGGGGACTCCCCAACCCCAGCTGAGGGGGGCACAGGGGATGGGGCAGGGGCAGGACTGGGGACAGCAGTGCCACGGTTTGGGGGATCCAGGGGCAGGGGGGGATGGCTGTCGGGGTTTGGGGGTGTCCTCTGAGCCCCGAGTGAGCAGTGGGGAAGGGGCCGCCCCCCGGAGCCCCCCGACCCACCTGAGAGCGGGTTGCAGGTGTCGCTGCCGCCGCGCTCCTCGGGCTCGGGGGGCGCGGGGGGCGCGCTGCGGAACGGGGACAGCGCGGTGGCGCCCGGGGGGGGCGCGGGCGGCTCCTCCTCGTCGCTGGAGCCGCAGCTGGAGGGGCTGGGGGGGGGGTCCCACTCGGCCGGGCCGGGGGGCGCTCCGGGCGCTTGGCCGTCCCCGCGCATCGCCCGGGGCTCGCCGGGGCTGGCGGCGTCTGCGGGGCACGGAGCGGGCTCAGGGCCGGGCCGGGACACCCCGGGGGTCCCGGCCGCCCCCCCGAGCCCCCGCACCTTTCTCGGGGCGCCGGCGGAAGGAGAGCTTGCGGCGCCGCAGCCGGGAGAAGCCGTCGTCCAGCTCGTCGCTGCCCGGGGAGCCGGGGATCATGTTGGTCTGCGGGGCGCGGGGGGCACCGTCGGGGGCTGCGGACCCTCCCCGAGCTCGGGACCCCCCCAGAGCTCCCCCAGCTCCTCACAGCTGGCTCAGCGTCCCCTCCCTTGCTCAGGACCCCCACCCAAAACTGCACAGAATCCCCCAGCCTGCTCAGGACCCCCCAGCCTGTTCAGGACCCCCCACCCAAAACTGCACAGAATCCCCCAGCCTGCTCAGGACCCCCAACCTAATCAGGACCCTCCCCAAGCTGCTCAGGACCCCCCCCCCCAACCTGATCAGGACCCCCCAATCTGCTCAGGACCCTCAGCCTGCTCAGGATCCCCAACCTGCTCAGGAACCCCAGCCTCTCTCGGGGCTCTCCTGGCTTGCTCAGAACCCCCCAAGACCCCTTGAAACCCCCCAACAACCTGCTCCCAACTCCCTCAACTCCCTCAAGACCCCCAGTTCGCTCAGGACCCCCCTCAGCTTGCTCTGAACCCCCTTACTGGTTCAGGACCCCCCATTTCCAGGACCCCCCTGTTCACTGGGACCCCCCGGCTCGCTCGGCTCTCCCCTCCCCCCCATTTTTGGAGCCGCCCTCACGTCGCGCAGGTTGAAGGTGATCTCGAGGGTGCCCCAGAAGCGGTCGGAGAACTCGGGGTACATGTCGAGCACCTCGAGCAGGTCCTCGCGCAGGATCTTGTGCAGGTCGCAGTAGGTGAGAGCGCGCACGTCCGCCCGCGACTTCCCGGGCCGGGCGTGCAGGTGCAGCGGCTCCCCGAAGGTGTCGTTCTTACCTGGGGGCACGGGGGGAAAACGGGGATCAGAGCTGCCCCCGGCACCCTAGGGTGTCGTTCTTACCTGGGGGGGGGGGGGGTACGGGGGGGGAACGGGGATCAGAGCTGCCCCCGGCACCCTAGGGTGTCGTTCTTACCTGGGGGGCACGGGGGGGACCGGGGGGACATGCAGGGTGTGCACAGGGCTGGGGGGGCCTCGGGGGAAGGGGGTCCCCAAGAGGGGGGGGTCAGTCTGGGCTTTGGGGATCCCCAAGAGGGGGGGTCAGTCTGGGCTTTGGGGGTCCCCAGGAGATGGGGGTCAGTCTGGGCTTTGGGGGGTCCCCAAGACGGGGGAGGGTCCGTTTGGGCTTTCCCCAGCACTGGGGGTCCCCAAGAGGGGGGGGGTCAGTCTGGGCTTTGGGAATCCCCAAGAGAGGAGGTCAGCCTGGCCTTTGGGGGATCCCCAAAAGGGGGAGGTCAGTCTGGGCTTTGGGGGTCCCCAAGAGGGGGGGTCAGTCTGGCCTTTGGGGGATCCCCAGAAGGGGGAGGTCAGTCTGGGCTTTGGGGGTCCCCAGGAGATGGGGGTCAGTCTGGCCTTTCCCCAGCACTGGGGGGGTCCCAGGATGGGGGGAATCCCTCGGGAGGCACCCGAGGAGCACCGGGGGTCTCCAGGACACGGGCTGTCACCCTGGGGGCACCCGGCACCCCCAAAGGCAGCGGCTGCTGCCCCACAGGCACTGCGGGACCCCCGGGTTCCTTCTGGGGGGCTCACCCAGGATGGCGACCACGACGTCGCCGCGCAGGATCTCGATGGAGCCGCGGGAGATGAAGTAGAGCGCGGTGAGCACGTCCCCGGCGTGCACCAGCGTGTCCCCGGGGGGCGCGTGGGTGGTCTTGAACTTCATGGCCAGGGCGCGCAGGCAGCCCTTGGTGGCGCCGCGGAACGGGGCGCAGTTCTGCAGCAGGCTGCGGTTCAGGTGCAGGCAGATGTCGGCCTGCAGGCACTCGGGGAACCCCTTCAGCACCTGCGGGGAGCGGGGGGTCACGGGGGCACGGGGGTGGGGGGTACCAGGGGTCAGGGCGGGTTTTAGGGGTCCCGGAGGGTCTCGCTGCGGTCACGCCAATGCTGCTGGTGCTGGAAACGCTCCCTGAGGAGGGGGGCTGAGGGCCAGGGGAGGTCGGGGTGTTTTTGGGACTTTTTGGGAGTCTCACTGTGTTCATGTTGGTGTAGGACCAAGTGTGCTGAAAGAGGGGCTGAGGGCCAGAGGGGTTTAGGGGTCCCATGGGGGTTTGGGGTGTTTCTGGGGTTTCTCAGGGTCTCACTGCGTTCATGTCGATGCCGTTGGTGTAGGGCCAGGTGTGCTGGAAGTGCTCCCTGAGGAGGGGGAGCTGAGGGCCAGGGGAGGTTTGGGGGTCTCAGGGGGCTTTTGGGGTGTTTGGGGATTTCTCGGGGGTCACACCATGGTCATGCCGATGCCACTGGTGTAGGACCAGGCATGCTGGAAGTGCTCCCTGAGGAGGGGGGCTGAGGGCCAGGTGGGGTTTGGGGTGTTTCTGGGGTTTTTGGGGGGGTCTCTCCATGTTCATGTTTGTGCCATTGATGTAGGACCAGGCATGCTGGAAATGCTCCTGAGGAGGGGGAGCTGAGGGCTGGAGGGGCTTGGGGGTCCCAGGGGGTTTGGGGTGTTTCTGGGTTGTTTCTGGGTGTTTTTGGGGTCTCACCGCGTTCATGTCGATGCCGTTGGTGCAGGACCAGGTGTGCTGGAAGAGGGGCTGAGGGCTGGGGGGTTTGGGTGGTTTTGGTGTGTTTTGGGGTGTTTTGGGCTCTCACCGCGTTCATGTCGATGCCGTTGGTGTAGGACCAGGCGTGCTGGAAGTACTCCTCGAGGCGCTGGCGCAGCGGGTTGGGGATCTGGTGGAAGCGGATGAACTCGCGCACGCGCAGCATCTGCGTGTGGTAGCGCGCCGTGCCCGAGTACAGCCGCTGGATGATGGCCGACACGTTCCCGAAGATGCTGGCGTACATCAGCGCTGGGGGGACAGCGTCAGGATGGCACCCCCGAGCCCCAGAGCCCAACTGACACCCCCCGGGCTGGGGGACAGGGTCCCTGTGTCCCTGTGTCCCCAAGAATGAGCACCGGGTGATGACCAAGGTGCTCCCAAGGATGCTGCCCCACATCGGTGTTGGGGGGACTTGTTGGGGGGCTCAGCACCCCCAAACCTCCACTGCTGCCAGGGCTGTAGTGTGGGGTACCCATTATTGGGCAGGGTGCCCATTGTCATGGGGTCCCCACTGTCACTGGGGGTCCCCACTGTCACAGGGGGGTGTCTGTCACCACAGAGTGCCCTTTGTCACAGGGGTCCCATCAGCACAGGAGTGTCCCCATCACCACAGAGTGCCCATTGTCACAGCAGTCCCCATCACCACACGGGTTCCCACTGTCACCAGACCCCATAGTTGTGAGGGTCCCCATTGTCATGGAGGTCCCCATGGTCACGGAGGGGCGTCATTGTCAGTGCCAAGAGTCATCCAGGGAGTTCTCAGGTGCCTGAGCCCACCTGTCCCCCAGCAGTGCCAAGGCCACCATTGACCATGTCCCCAAGTGCCACATCCACTTTTAAATCCCTCCAGTGATGGAGACTCCACCATGCCCTGGGCAGCTGGGCCAGGGCTGGGCAGACTTTTTGGGGAAGGAATTTTCCCAATATCCAACCTGAGCCTGCCCTGGCCCAGCCTGGAGCCGTTCCCTCTGCTCCTGTCCCTGTTCCCTGGGATAAGATCCCAAATCCCCCCGGCTGTGCCCTCCTGGCAGGAGCTGTGCAGAGCCACAAGGGCCCCTGAGCCTCCTTTGCTCCAGCTGAGCCCCTGCCCAGCTCCTCAGGGATTCTGCAGCCCCTGCCCAGCTCCCTCAGGGATTCTGCAGCCCCTGCCCAGCTCCTCAGGGATTCTGCAGCCCCTGCCCAGCTCCCTCAGGGATTCTGCAGCCCCTGCCCAGCTCCTCAGGGATTCTGCAGCCCCTGCCCAGCTCCATTCCCTGGACTCTCTCCAGCCCCTCCAGGTCTCTCCTGCTGGAGGGGCCCAGAGCTGCCCCCAGGATTCCAGGGGGTCCCTCAGCAGGGCCAGCACAGGGGACAATCCCTGCCCTGGGCTGTGCCCACCTGGGCACCCCTGGGCTCGTGTCCAGCCGCCGTCACCATCAGCCCAAGGACCTGTCCCAGGTTTCCAGCCTCTGTGCCCAGCCTGGATGTTCCATGGGGCTGGTGTGACCCACAGGTGTCCCCAGCCCGTGGATCTCTGCAGAGCCTCCTGTCCCCAGCAGAGCCACCTCCCACCCAGCTGTGTCACCTGAGGACAGGCCACGAGGGGCCACCAATCCCCAGAGCATCAGTGAAGGTGTCAAACAGGGACAGCCCCAAAACTGAGCCTGGGGGTGATCCTGCACCCCCCGTGTGTGTGGGTGCAGATACAGGTGTCACACACAGGTGTGACGATACACACTCACGGGTGATCACACACACACAGGTGTGCAGACTCACAGGTGTGTGGATATACACACAGGTCTGCACACACAGGGGAGTGTGCACACACACACACACAGGTTTGCATACTTACAGGGGTGCACACTCACAGGTATGAGGGTACACACATAGCTCTGCACACTCACGGGTGCTCTCACGCCCCATGGCCGCTCACACCCAGTCAGCCCGATGCAGACAGAGATCTCCTGGAGCTGGTGTTGGGGGACAGGTTGCCAAAGCCCCCGGGGCTCTCACACACACCTGGCTGCACACGCAGGTGCTCACACACACCAGGTGTGCAGCACACACTCACACAGCTCTCACACACAGGTGCTCACACACACACCCAGGTGTGCAGCACACACTCACACAGCTCTCACACACAGGTGCCCATGCACACCCAGGTGTGCAGCACACACAGCTCTCACACCCGCTCACAGCCGGGGCACTCACATCCGATGAGCATATACAGATGGAGAAGATCTCGGAGTTGGTGTTGGGGGACACGCTGCCGAAGCCCCAAGGGCTCTCACACACACCTGGCTGCACACACACAGGTGCTCACACACACCTGGGTGTGCAGCACTCACACAGCTCTGACACACACACAGGTTCTCACACACACACAGAGCTGTGCAGGCACACACTCACACAGCTCTCACACACACCCGGGTGTGCAGCACTCACACAGCTCTCACACACACCCCCAGGTGTGCAGCACACACCGAGGTGTGCAGCACACACTCACACACAGGTGCTCTCACACACCCCCAGGTGTGCAGCACACACTCACACAGCTCTGACACACATCCAGGTGTGCAGCACTCACACAGCTCTCACACACACCCGGGTGCGCAGCACTCACACAGCTCTCACACCCTGGGGCTCTCACACACACCCAGGTGTGCAGCACACACAGCTCTCACACCCGCTCACACCCGGGGCACTCACATCCGATGAGCATGACGCAGATGGAGAAGATCTTCTCGGAGTTGGTGTTGGGGGACACGTTGCCGAAGCCCACGCTGGTGAGGCTGCTGAAGGTGAAGTAGAGCGCCGTGACGTACTTGTCCTTGATGGAGGGCCCGAAGCTGCCGTTGAGGGGCTTGCCGATCTGCTGGCCCAGCGCGTGCAGCCAGCCCGTGCGCTGCCCCTCCACGTTGCCGATGGCGTACCAGATGCAGGCCAGCCAGTGCGCGATCAGCGCGAAGGTGCACATCAGCAGGAACAGCACGGCCGCGCCGTACTCCGAGTAGCGGTCCAGCTTCCTGGCCACCCGCACCAGCCGCAGCAGCCGCGCCGTCTTCAGCAGCCCGATCAGCGTCGTGGTCTGGGGACGGCAGGGAAAGGGTTACAGGGGGTGGGGATACCCTGGGGACACACACAGGGGTGAGATTGCATTCGGCAGGGAAAGGGTTACGGGGGATGGGGACACACAGAGGGCTGAGGTTCCATCCTCTCTACCCGATCAGTGTTGTGGTCTGGGAACGGCAGGGAAAGGGTTACGGGGGTGGGGATACCCTGGGGACCCTGGAGTGAGGAGGGGTGTGGGGTTCCATCCTCTCTCCCCATATCAGCAGCCCGATCAGCGTTGTGGTCTGGAGAACAGCAGGGAAAGGGTTACGAGGGGCGGGAATACCCCAGGAAAACCCCAAAGGGCTGAGGTTCCATCCTCTCTCCCCACAACAGCAGCCCCAGCAGCGTCATGGTCTGGGGAACGGCACAGAAAGGGTTACAGGGGTGGGGATATGCCAGGGACCCCCAGAACAGAGAGGGGGGCTCCATGCTGTCTCCCCATATCAGCAGCCCCACTAGTGTTGTTGTCTGGGGAACGGCAGGGAAAGGGTTATGAGGGTGGGGATACCCCGGGGACCCCCAAAAGGGAGAGAGAGGTTCCACATCAGCAGCCCGATGAGTGTCATTGCCTGGGGAGCGGCACAGAAAGGGTTACGGGGGTGGGGATAGCCCGGGGACCCCCAGAACAGAGAGGGGGGCTCCATCCTCTCTCCCCCCATCAGCAGTCCCAGCAGTGTCATGGCCTGGGGGACAGGAAAAAGTGGGGGGTCAACAATGAAAAGATGCCCTCAGAACCCCAAAAGTGTGGGGGGCCCTCGCCCCAAGGCAGGCACCTCCATTCTGGGGTCTCCCCCTGCCCCAGGTACCCCCAGGCTGAGGGTGGAGGGAGGAAAGGGGGCTCAGCAGAGCCAGAGAGCCCCCCAGACCCCTAGCAGGGCACAGGGGGCCGTGAGCCCCTGGACCCCTCCCCACACCAGCCCCAGTGTCCCTGCTGTCCCACCCAGAGCACAGGGGGTCAGGGCAGGGGTTCAGGGGGGTCTGGGCAGGAGGATCAGGGGGTTCTGGGCAGGGGATTTCAGGGGGGTCTGGGCAGGGGGTTCAGGGGGGTCTGGAAAGGAGGTTCAGGGGGGGTCTGGGAAGGAGGTTTGGGGTGGTCTGGGAAGGAGGTTCACAGGGGTCACCAGGGGCACTGTGGTGTCTTTGTATGGGAGGGCATGTGGGACCCCCAGGCACTCCCCACGGGCAGACCCAGCACCCAGGAACAGCCCCCACCACTCCAACACCCACCCCAGCACTGCGGGCATGGGTGGGACCCCCAGACACAGCGCAGACCCCCAGAGCAGCACTGCCCAGCCGCGGGGCTGGCACCCCGTGTCCCCACGTCCCCGCGTCCCCTGTCACCTCCTCGGAGCCGGAGCCGAAGATGAGCAGGTCGAAGGGGATGGCGGCCACCATGTCGATGAGGAACCAGCCCTTGAAGTAGTGGATGGCGATCTTGGCGGGGTGGCTGACCACCTCCTCGTTGGAGTTGACGTAGGTGGTGCGGAAGTTGATGAGGATGTCGATGATGAACATGATGTCCACGATGAGGTCCACCACGTTGAGCGGGCTGCACGAGTAGCCGCAGTGGTGCCGCTGCGCCTCCTCCGAGTCGCTGAGCAGGAAGGCGGCCGAGTAGGGCGTGAAGATGGCCGTGTAGATGACCAGCAGCAGGATCAGCCAGTCCCACACGGCCTTGAAGGGGCTGTAGTGCAGGATGGTCCAGCGGTGGATGCGCGGCGCCTGCAGCTTGTACTCGGGGAGCACGTCGGCGCCCAGGGACAGCACCTGGGACGGGGGGGGACACGGGGCTCAGCCGGCAGCCCAGCACCCCACAGCACCCCACAGCACCCCGCCCCTGCCACCCCACAGCACCCCAGAGCACCTCACAGCACCCCAGCACCCCACAGCACCCCACAGCACCCCACAGCACCCCGCCCCTGCCACCCCAACCCCAACCAATGTGGTGCCTGGGCTGTGGGATGGTGCCCTTGGCCATGGTGGGTCAGTGCTGGACCTTGGCCAGGGTGGGTCAGGGCTGGACCCAGGGGTTCTGGGGAGCCTTCACAGCCTCAGCAGCGCTGTGACACTCTGGGGTGAGGTGTGACCCCCAACAAGGGCATGTGGGGGGCTGCAGGCCTCACACCTCCAGCCTGGGGAGGGGTGGGCACCTGGGTCAGGAGCCTCCTGCCCAGACCCTCTGAACCCCCTGCCCAGACCCCCCTGAACCCCTGCCCAGACCCCCTGAACCCCCTGCCCTGCCCAGACCCCCCTGAACTTTCTGCCCAGACCCCCTGAACCCCCTGCCCAGGCCCCCTCTGCTCTGGGTGCCCATCACTGGACCTCGTGCTTTCAAAGGTCCTTCCCAAACCCAACATTCTGTGACTCTGGGGGTGCAGAGGGAGCCCAGCACAGGCAATGGGGGGTGCAGGGACACCACCACGTGTGACCAGGGGTGCCAGGAGGGGACAAAGCCCCCTGACACCACAGAGCCCCACAACCCCCTCCTGCCCCACAAATACCAGCAGGGCAGCTCCCACCCTCCGATGCTGCCCTGTGCCCCAGATCTGTGTCCCCAGCCATTGCCATCCCACCGAGGGGCACGGCCTCCCCCTGGCATTCCCACCTGGAGGGCACAGCCCCCTCCCCAGTGCCAGTCCCTGTGCACAGCACCCGGGGGCACAACCCCAGGGGTCCTTGTGGGGTCCTGGTCACCCTTGGGGGTGCCTGGGGGGGCCCACAGGGTCCCTCACCCCGCACAGCCCCACGGCAGGGGTGAGAGGTGACAGGGCTGACCCAGGGCCCCCCGCCCTGTGCCCCACAGGGGTCGCAGCCCCCGTTCTGCCCCACAGGGGTCGCAGCCCCCGTTCTGCCCCACAGGGGGTCACGGCGCCCCTGCCCCCCCCGGGGGTCCCCCTTGCCCCCCGAGGCCCATCGTGGGGCTCCATCTGGTGCCGCAGCCCCGGGAGGGGATGGGTGCCATCCCCCTGCCCCCGAGGGGACGCTGGGGGTCCGGGTGCCCCCGTCACGCAGAGCCAGAGCTTTATGTAAGCCCCGAACCCCCCCGAACCACGCCGAGGACACGGACGCGGCCCCCGCAGCCGCCGCCAGGGCTCGGGTGGGCGCAGAGCCCCCCTCCCCCCCCGCGGCACCCCCGCCGCACCGGCCGGGTCGGGGGCGCGGGGAGGGCGGTGCCGGTACCTGCTCCTGCTGTCGGCGCCCGGTGCCGTCGCGGCGGAGCCCCAGACAGGCGCTGCAGAGCGGGACCCCGGGCATGGGGCAGGGCCCGGGGGGCGGCCCGGCCCGGGGGGGCGCGGGGGACGCGCCCGGCAGCTCCTGCAGCAGCCGCAGGAGCGCGGGCAGCATCCTCGGGATGGGAGGGGATGGGATGGGGGCGGCGGGGTCAGCCCGCGCCGGCCCGGGGCTGCCGGGGACCCCCCCGGGCCGGCCCCGCGCCCATGGCGTGCCCCGGGACCCCCGGCGGGAGCGGGGACCCCCGGCGGCGATGGGGACCCCCGGCGGCGATGGGGACCCCCGGCGCCGTGCGCCAGCCGCGCTCCGCCGGAGCCGACAGGAATTATTGGGGCGGAAATTTTCCCAGGCTGCTCCGCTGCCGCCGCCACGGCCACGGCCAGGGCTGCCCCCCCGGCCCCCCAGCGCCCCCCCAGCGCCCCCCGGGCCCCCTGCCCGCGGGGACAGCGCCGCGGCCGGGCGTGCCCTCGGGCGGCACGGCACCGGGTGCGGCAGTCACAGCCCCTGGGCACCCCTGGGCACCCCCAGGGCACCCCCAGGGCACCCCCACCTGGCCAGGTGTGCGGGACAGCGCTGCCCGTGGCAACCAGCAGGGCGTCACGGGCCACACCCGTGCCAGGGACCACACTCGCGACAGGGACACGGCGGGGATGTCCCTCACCCATGCGGTGCCCACAGGCCGGGATGCGGGACCCATTCCAGCCAGAACATGTCCCCCACTGCCACAGCCCCCCAGGACACAGGCCCCGTCACCTCTGTCCCCAGGGCCACCAGCCGCGGTGGCCTCGTGGGGAACAGCCACGGGTGATGGGAGACGCGGTGCTGGGAACACACGGCGACACTGCGGGGACACGGGGTGATGGCACTGGGACACGCGGTGACACGCAGTGACACAGGCACACAGTGCCGGGCACACAGAGCGATGGTACCGGGACCCGCGGTGACACGCAGTGACACGCAGTGACACAGGCACACAGAGCGATGGCACTGGGACACGCGGCGGTGACAGCGCCGGGACACGCGGTGACACGCGATGACAGCACTGGGACACACGGCAGCTCCTGCGTCACAGCCGCCACCCCCACGCGGGGGATTCCCGCTGCCACCCGTGTCCCCGCGCACCGTGTGACAGAGGAACGAGGCCACCCGTGCCCTGCGTGCGGGGGTCCCCGCTGCCACCCCCTCCTGGGGGGCTGCACCCCGACACCCCCCGAGCCCCGGGGGTGGGACGGGTGCCACGGGGCCCTGGGGACACGGGGGGTGGCAGGTACGGGGACACGGTGGGTGACAGGTACCGGGGCACAGAGCCCCCCATCCCGGTGTCAGCAGGGAGCCCAGGGGTGTCCTCAGGGGGGGACCCCAATCCCGAGTGCCCCCCCGGCTGTGCCGGCCCGGAGGGAGGGGGAGGGCACGGGGTGGGGGGGCACAGCGGGGGAGGGGCTGGCACGGGGGGGGGGGCACACACAGCGGGGGAGGGGCGGGGGGCGTTCCCAGCCACCAGCCGCTCCTGCCGCTAAATTTATCGCAGCTGCCGCGGCAAAGTGGGACAAATCCCGGCCTGCGGCGCGGGGGGCGGGAGCCGCGCAAGGCCCCGGGGCCGGGGGAGGGTCCCGCCGTCTGCGGGGAGAGACCCCGGGACCCCCCGCTCCATCCCCGAGCCTGTGGCCCTCATGGGCTGGGGGTAGCCCAGAGCCCCCCAAATATACCCCCAGGCACGGGCCCCACAGGCACACCTGGAACCCCCCCAGAATGCGCCCTCCGCCCCAGCACCGGGCAGAGCAGCCCGCGCCCCTTCCCGGGGGTCCCGGCGAGGCCGAGGCACCGTCCTGGCACCCCCTTCCCCGTGCCAGCCCCCCGGACACATGGGGGACACGCGGGGTCCCCCTGACCCCAGCCGTGGGGTCCGCAGCCCCCCAAATGGCGGGGCAGCCCCCAGCCCAGCGTGTCCCCATGCACAGGGACAGCCCCCAGCCCAGCGTGTCCCCCCACCACGGGGACAATCCCCAGCCCAGCGTGTCCCCCAGCCCAGCGTGTCCCCATGCACAGGGACAGCCCCCAGCCCAGCGTGTCCCCCCGCCACGGGGACAGCCCCCAGCCCCTCCCCTGCCAGCAGGGTCGGGAGTACCATGAAGAGGGGTCGGGGACACCCCAAGCCCAGGTGGGTCCCCAGCCCCGGTGCGTATGTCGGGACAGAGCCGATTTGCGGCGAAATCCCGAGCGCCCCGGCCCGGTGCCACCCCTCGCCCCACAGCCGTCAGTCACGGTGACACAGATGGCGGCGGCGCCGGTGACACGTTCGGCAACACGCGGCGACACGTCCCGCCCCGGTGACGCGTCCCCGACACCTGCGGTGACACCGCCGCCCCCCGGGACAGCCGGCACCGCACCTGCCGCGACCCAGACACCTGCGCCCACGGGCACCCCAAATACGGGCCGGGACAGGGCGGGGGCAGGCGGCACCCCAAATACCGAATGGGACAGAAACAGGGGCAGGCTGCACCCCAAATACCCAACGGGACAGGGGCAGGGGCAGGCTGCACCCCAAATACCCAACGGGACAGAAACAGGGGCAGGCTGCACCCCAAATACCCAACGGGACAGGGGCAGGGGCAGGCGGCACCCCAAATACCCAACGGGACAGAAACAGGGGCAGGCTGCACCCCAAATACCCAACGGGACAGAAACAGGGGCAGGCGGCACCCCCGAGAGCCCCCCGAGACCGTGAGTGAGCCCCCTGCGCCCCCCAGGGCACCGACACCCCCTCTGTCACTGCCCTGTCCCTGCTCCCCCCCGGGCCCCCCCAGCAGGGACCCCCAGCACCCGGCAGGGACCCCAACACCTGCTCCGAGGGGTACCTGACAGTCCCAGAGCCCCAAATCCTGCCCCAGTGAGTGCCCCTCAGCCACAGAGTCCCAAATCCTGCCCCAGTGAGTGCCCCACAGCCACAGAGCCCCAAATCCTGCCCCAGCAGGGACCCCACAGCCACAGAGCCCCAAATCCTGCCCCAGTGAGTGCCCCTCAGCCACAGAACCCCAAATCCTGCCCCAGTGAGTGCCCCACAGTCCCAGAGCCCCAAATCCTGCCCCAGTGAGTGCCCCTCAGCCACAGAGCCCCAAATCCTGCCCCAGCAGGGACCCCACAGCCACAGAGTCCCAAATCCTGCCCCAGCAAGTACCAGCACCCACAGGCACCCAACACCAGCCCTGGCAGGCACCCCACACCTCCCCGGGTACCCCATACCTGCCCTAAGCAGGCCCTGGCACCCACCCAATGCCCGCGTCCAAGACCCCCAGACGTCCCCTGGGGCCCCGGGACACCCCCAGGCAGGGGGACACTGACCCCCATGACATCCCTGCCCCCTGGCAGCTGTCACCCGGGGTGGGCACGGCCAGGGCAGTGCCAGCCATCGCCAGGTGACACCAGAGCAGTGTGGGGACACCCCACACAGGAGACACCCCGACACAGACACCCCGCGCTGGGGACCCCCCCATCCCATCCCATCCCCGGTGCCACGGGGTACTCACGGCGCCGAGCTGCGGCGTCGCAGCCCCCTCGGGACCCCTCGACATGGACACGGGGCACACGGAGCCGCCCGGGCGGGCAGCGACACCGGCACCCGCAGCCTCCGGCACCCGCGGCACGGCGGGGGACGGGCCCGTGACAGGGGGACGGCCCGGGGGGACGGGGGGACGGCCCGGGGGGCGGCGCGCCCGCCCCGGCCCCGACCCCGGCCCGGTGACGCTGGCACTGACCCACACCCGCGCCAAAAGGGAACGGCTGCCAGGACCTGGGACACACGCTGGGGACAACCTGGGACACCTGGAGACCGCCTGGGACACCCTGGCGACCCCCTGGGACACGCTGGGGACCAATGGGAACACTCTGAGGACCGCCTGGGACACCTGGGGACCAACGGGAACACTCTGGAGACCGCCAGGGACACCTGGGGACCACCCGGGACACGCTGGGGACCGCCAGGGACACTCTGGGGACCAACGGGAACACGCTGGGGACCGCCAGGGACACTCTGGGGACCGCCTGGGACACCTGGGGACCAACGGGAACACTCTGGGGACCGCCAGGGACACCCTGGGGACCGCCAGGGACACACTGGGGACCAACGGGAACACTCTGGGGACCGCCAGGGACACTCTGGGGACCAACGGGAACACGCTGGGGACCACCAGGGACACGCTGGGGACCGCCAGGGACACTCTGGGGACCCCCAGGGACACGCTGGGGACCAACGGGAACACTCTGGGGACCGTCTGAGACACGCTGGGGACCAACGGGAACACGCTGGGGACCACCCGGGACACCTGGGGACCGCCCCGGACACAGCAGAGGCCATGGGACCCACGAGCCGGGACCCCTCGGCACACCACAGCCACCACGGCACAGCGGGACACAGCTCCGAGCCCGGCCGAGGCACCAGGTGGGCAGTGGGGACCCATGGGGGGTTATGGCCCCAACCCCCGGGGGGCACTGGGGGGCCTCAGATCGCCCTGGACCCCCAGAGCCGCCCTCCAGAACCGCCAGTGCCCCCCACTGCAAGCAGGGGGGCACCCCCGGTACCCCGCAGCCCCTGAGGGCGGGATGAGCCACAGGAGCCACTTCCCCAGGCCCCCTCGGGACCCCCAGCCCCCCGCAGCCCCTCAGAGCCGCTGCTGCGACCCCCAGCCCCTGCTCCGTGTCCCCCAGCCCGGCGTGGGGACACCCCGCACCCCCCATGGCAGGATAAATTGCGGGGCCCCGTTCCCACCGCGGGGGGACCCCCGGAGCCCCCCGGAGCCCCCGGAGCCGCCCGCAGCGCCCACCGCTGTGCCAGCGCTCCGTGCCCTCCATCCCGGCATGGGGACAGCCCCGCGCCCGCGCACGGGGAAGCGACAACGGCACCGCGATACCCCGGGGGGAGAGGGACCCTCCTCAGAGCCCCCCGATCCCCCCGGCGCCCCCCAGAGCCGCCCCCCAGGACCCCCGGTGCCCCCCGGCCCCGGCCCCCGAGCCCACGTGCGCCGGTACAAAGCGGGGGTCCCGCTCTCCCCCCGGTGAGACCCCCGCCCCCCGGCCGTACCTCCTGTGCCACCAGGCTGGAGACGCGCACGGCGCGGCGGACCCGCTCCCGCCGCTCCCCGTCGGGGCGCTCGGGGCGCTCCCCGCTGTCGCGCCGCGCCGGGGCCATGGCCGCGCTCGGGGGTCCCCGCGCCCCCCCGGCCCCGCGCGCGGCAGATGGAGCGGGGCGGGACCCCCCGAGCCCCCCCCGCCGCTCGCCCCCGCCGGGCCCCCCCGGCGCGGCCCTCGCCACTCCCCGGGGGAGGGACCGGGAGCGCCCGGAACGGCCCCGCGGGGGCTCCGGGGCGCGGCGGGGCACGGGGGGGGGCCCGCGGAACCGGCGCGCTCCCCGCCCGCCGCACCGGCACCCCCTGCGGGACCCCGGGATCCGGGAGGGATCCCCCAAGTGTGACCGGCACGGCGCTGGCACGGGGGATGGGGACGGGGACGGAGGATGACGGGCACGGGGACAGCGGTGGGGGGGACATGGACAGTGACGGTAGCGGTGAGCTGGCCCTGGCAGCCCCGGCTGATTCACGGTGTCCCCGCGTCCCCGTGTCCCTGGCCACTGCCCAGCCCTGGCACTGCCCCACGGCTGCGCACCCCCAGCCCCGACGAGAGGGAGCTGGGGGGCAGCGGGGCCGGGGTCGGCAGGACTCGTCCCGCACTGGGGGTCCCCGGTGTCCCCAGCCCGCTGTCCCCAAGAGCCAGCGATGCCCCAGTGACATGTCCTGGCTGGTGGCACCGCCGGCTCCCCACTCCCCCTGAGTGGGGCTGGGGTCCCCCCGCCCGATCGTGCCCCACGCAGGGATCCCCCCCAGAACGGAGCAGGAGTTCCCGAGGGTCCCATGAGCCCTAGGGGTGTCACGGCCACACCAGGCCTCTGTCACTGTCACCCAGAGCGCGGTGACCTTGACGGGCGCTTGGCTCCGGCCCCGCGGGTGAATCACGGTGCCGCTGCAGGGACACCCTGTCCCCAGCGCCACCGACCCGAGGTGCCGAGCCGGGGACAGCCCCACGTCCTCTGCGTCCGTGTCCCCTGTGTCCGTGTCCCCCCGTTACCCCGAGGCTCCCCCAGCCGGGACACCCCGAGGCTCCCCCGCCGTGCTGGGCGCACAGCCCGGCCCGGTGACCGCAGCCGTGTCCCCTCCTGGCCCCGTGGCAGCGGCGGCGAAGCGAGAGCGCAGCGTCACCCTGGCGGCACAATTAACCACGGCCGGGGCAACCGAGAGGTTCCGTCAGGAGCTGGGGGGGCGGGGATGCGGAGTGAGGGGTGTGCCACCCCCAGAAGGGTCCCTGCAGCCCCCAGAAAGGTCCCTGCAGCCCCCAGAGGGTCCCTGCAGCCCCCACAGGGTCCCTGCAGCCCACCGAGGGCCCTGCGGCTGCCCCAGGGCCCGGCCTGGAGCTCGGGGTGGGAGCGGGGGTCCCCAAGGGGCCCCTCACGTGTGCGGGCAGGTGCGGGGCCGGGGGGCCCGGGGGGGGCCGGGCAGACGCGCCGGGGCCGCTCCGTCCCCCGGCAGCTGCCGGGGAGCCCGGGGACACCGCGGGGCGGGACACGCGGCGGTGCCCACCCCGCACGGCCCTCCGGGGATGCCCGGGCCCGCCGCCCCCCCGGATCATTAGCGGAGGGAAATGAGGGTGTAATTAAGCGGCGCCTCCCGCTCCCGCGGCAGATGGCGGTTACACAACGGGCCGCGGATTAGCGGCGGCCGCCAGCGCCCGGCACCCGGCAGGCACGGCACCGGGGCCGGGGGCAGCGCGGTGAGGGGCACAACGGCACCGGGGTCAGGGGCACAGAGGTACCGGGGCCGGGGGGTACAACGGCACCAGGGCAAGGGGGTACAACGGCACCGGAGCCGGGAGCAGCGCGGTGAGGGGCACAACGGCACCAGGGCAAGGGGGTACAACGGCACAACGGCACTGGGGAGTGTCTGCCCCCTGCATCCCGCTGGGAGCGCCCCAGGGGCTGTCCCAGACCCGGCTGTCCCCGGGCACGGCATCCACCGGCCCAGAACACCATGGTCACGACCCCCGGCCAGTCCCCCCAGCACCACTGAGCCACCTTGGCACTGCCCGGTCACCTTGGCACCATCCCGACACTTTGGCACCACCCGGACGCTTCTGGCACCACCCGGACACTTTGGCACCACCCGGACGCTTCTGGCATCACTCGGCCACCTCCAGCACTGCCTGCACATTTTGTCACAGCTCGGACACTTTGTCACTGCTGGGCCATGCTGGCACAGCCTGGCCACGCCATCACTGAAACCGCCCGGACGCCTCGGTACAGCCCAGCCGTGTCTGCACCACGTGCCTGCCACCTCTGGCACGTCCCGGGCACCTGGTGGCACCTGGTGGCACCTGGCCACCTCCAGCAGCACCTGGCCACCGTGGCATTCCCCACTAACCTTTGTCACCACCTGGCCACCTCTGGCATCACCTCCAGCATCACCCAGTCAGCTCCCCTCCACAGCCCGCGGGGCTCACCGTGTCACCGTGTCACCTGTGTCACCTGTGTCACCTGTCCCCCGTGCGGGTCTCACCTGTGTGACCTTCTCGGTGACGTTGTGGGTGCGGTCGCGCAGCTTGGTGGGGGCGATGATGGGCCGGGGGGCGGGGGGCGGTGCCAGGAGCGCCCCCGGCTGCAGGTCCATGAAGTTGAGGGTGATCTGCGGGATGCGGCCGATGGCCCGGAACCGCGCCAGGTCCGAGTCCGACGTGGAGTTGAGCAGCGCGCTGCGCACGGCGGCCACGGCGCCTGCAGGGGGACACGCGGGCACCGTGCTGTCACACGGCGGGGGGACCGTCACACGGCACGGAGCCGGGATCCGCGGGGCAGCGGTCCCACAACTCCCAGGGCAGGGGTCCCACAGCTCCCCTGGGATCCTGGGGCAGGGGTCCCACAGCTCCCCTGGGATCCTGGGGTTCCACAGCTCCCAGGGCAGGGGTCCCACAGCTCCCAGGGCGGGGGTCCCAGGGCAGGTGAAGGGAATGTGGAGCCCCAGGGCGGGGACAGACCCCCAGCCCCTGTGCCACCAGCCCGTGTGCCACCGCCCCCCCAGGGGCCTGCAGAGCTGCTCTCAGTTACCTTTAATGGCATTACAATAATTGTCCCTTATCCTATTACCCTTAACGAGCTCTGGGGCCAACGAGGTGACTCCCGAGGGGATTCCCAGGGTGACCGCACCCTGTGGCTCAGGGGGCTGCGGGATGGGCCAGGAGGGTCTGGGGTCATGGGGGGGGGGTCCCCAGCCCCTGCTGTGGGGCGGTGGGATGGGGGTCACCAGCCCCCGATGGCTGTGGCTGTCCCCATGTCCCCAGCCCCGCTGGCCGCTCCATGTCCCCAGTCCCGATGGCTGTGTCTCCATGTCCCTAGCCCGATGGCTGTCCCCGTGTCCCCAGCCCCGATGGCTGCGGCTGTTCCCATGTCCCTAGCCCGATGGCTGTCCCCGTGTCCCCTCCCCGATGGCTGCCCCGTGTCCCCAGCCCCGATGGCTGTCCCCATGTCCCCACCCCGATGGCTGCCCCGTGTCCCGTGCCCCTCTGGCTGTCCCCGTGTCCCCTCCCCGATGGCTGCCCCGTGTCCCGTGCCCCTCTGGCAGTCCCCGTGTCCCCAGCCCCGATGGCTGTGGCTGTTCCCGTGTCCCCTCCCCTCTGGCTGTCCCCGTGTCCCCAGCCCCTCTGGCTGTCCCCGTGTCCCCTCCCCGATGGCTGCCCCGTGTCCCCAGCCCCGATGGCTGTCCCCATGTCCCCACCCCGATGGCTGCCCCGTGTCCCGTGCCCCTCTGGCTGTCCCCGTATCCCCTCCCCGATGGCTGCCCCGTGTCCCGTGCCCCTCTGGCTGTCCCCGTGTCCCCAGCCCCGATGGCTGTGGCTGTTCCCGTGTCCCCTCCCCTCTGGCTGTCCCCGTGTCCCCAGCCCCTCTGGCTGTCCCCGTGTCCCCTCCCCGATGGCTGCCCCGTGCCCCCATCCCCGATGGCTGTGGCTGTTCCCATGTCCCCTCCCCTCTGGCTGTCCCCGTGTCCCCGTGTCCCGTGCCCGTACCGGTGCTGGAGCCGCGGTGCAGGCCGGTGCCGGCGCTGGCGCTGGCGTGGCGGCTGTGGCAGCGCTTGTCCCCGTCGCCCTTCATGGCCTCGATGTCATCGACGGACGAGGCGCGGCGGAGGCTGCGGAGGCTCTCTCGGGACCGGCGCTCCCGGGAGCGGCTCCGGGCCAGGCTGTGGTTGGCGAAGGCCAGCGCCAGGCGCTCGGCCCGCGGCGACGGCGGCGGCACCGGCGGCTCGGGGTCCCCCATCAGCGCCGCCTCGTCCTCGGCGCGGTCCCCGGCCTCCAGCGACGAGGAGGCGTCCTCGGGGCCCGAATCGCTGCCAGGCGGGCCGGGCTCCGGGGCCGGCGGGTCCGCGAGCCCCGGGTCCACGACCACCACGTCCGGGGGCTCCGGGGGCTCGGGGGGCAGCGACTGGCGGCTGCCCGTGAGCGCCAGCAGCTTCAGCCGCAGGGAGCGGCTGCGACCTGGGGGGGACAGGGCCGGGTCACACCGGGGCTGGGACAGGGACAGGGGCAGCTCCACAGCCCCACATGGTGCTGCTCCAGCCGCAGGGACCGGCTGCGCCCCGAGGGCAGGGCTGGGGCCGGGGGCAGCGTCTGACCCCTCCTCACAGTGCTGCCACTGTCCCCATGTGCCCCAAAGCAACACCTGGGACGTGGGGGCCGCAGGACATGGGCTGACACCAGCCTGGTGGCACTGACCCCATTGCCCCTGCAGGAACCCAGGAGGAGGGTGTGACCCCGGTGTCCCTGCCCCTTCACACCTGGGGCTGACCCGGTGTCCCCGTCCCCATACCTGGGGTGACCCGGTGTCCCTGTGTCCCCTGCTACCTGGGGTGACCTGGTGTCCCTGTCCCCCACACCTGGCGTGACCCGGTGTCCCTGCCCCCTCACACCTGGGGCTGACCCGGTGTCCCTGTCCCCATACCTGGGGTGACCCCGTGTTCCTGTTCCCCACAACTGGATGTGACCCGGTGTCCCTGTGTCCCCCGCTACCTGGGGGTGACCCAGTGTCCCTGTCCCCATAGCTGGGATGACCCGGTGTCCCTGTCCCCATACCTGAGGTGACCCAGTGTCCCTGTCCCCATAGCTGGGGTGACCCGGTGTCCCTGTCCCCCATACCTGGGGTGACCCAGTGTCCCTGTGTCCCCGTACCTGGGGTGATCCTGTGTCCCTGTCCCCCTACCTGGGGTGACCCGGTGTCCCTGTCCCCATAGCTGGGCTGACCCGGTGTCCCTGTCCCCGGTGTCCCTGTCCCCGTACCTGGGGGTGACCCCGTGTTCCTGTTCCCCACAACTGGATGTGACCCGGTGTCCCTGTGTCCCCCGCTACCTGGGGGTGACCCGGTGTCCCTGTCCCCATAGCTGGGGTGACCCGGTGTCCCTGTCCCCCATACCTGGGGTGACCCGGTGTCCCTGTCCCCGTACCTGGGGTGACCCAGTGTCCCTGTGTCCCCGTACCTGGGGTGATCCTGTGTCCCTGTCCCCCACACCTGAGGTGACCCGGTGTCCCTGTCCCCATACCTGAGGTGACCCGGTGTCCCTGTCCCCATAGCTGGGCTGACCCGGTGTCCCTGTCCCCGGTGTCCCTGTCCCCGTACCTGGGGGTGACCCCGTGTTCCTGTTCCCCACAACTGGATGTGACCCAGTGTCCCTGTGTCCCCATACCTGGGCTGACCCGGTGTCTCTGTCCCCGGTGTCCCTGTCCCCGTACCTGCAGGCCCCCAGGGGGCCGGGGTGACCCAGTGGTTGGTGCTGGGGGCCGGGGCCTCCCCGGGCTCGGGCTCCCTCACGGCCTCGAAGTTGAGGATGAACATGATGACGGTGCCATCCTCGTTCTTCACCGGCACCACGTCCACCAGGCACGGGAAGGAGCTGCCTGCGGGGAGGGGGGACAGCGACATGGGGGGGTGGCACTGCCACCCGGGAGGGCACCCCGCCTGGCCCCGGACATCCCTGCTGGGCACCCCCTCCCTCCTGCCCCCCCGGTATCAGCCCCGCCTGCCCCCAACGCTGACCCCACCGCGGGGGAAACTGAGGCACGGGAGGGCGGGGGTGCCCCTTTCTCCCCCCAACGCCGTGGCGCGTCTGTGCGTGGGCAGCGGCGCCGGGGGGGCTCCGGGGGTGCCGGGCAGGGTTAATCCGCTCAGAACTCGTTAACAGCTGTGGCGTTAATCCGGTGCCGCAGCTGGAGGCGGGGGGGGAATTGGGGGTGCTCGGGGCAGCCCGGGGCACCCTCTGGGGGACGGGGGGGCATCCTGCTGCCCCCGGCACCCCTCACTGAGTGGACACGGGCGGAGGCGCCAGGGGACGCGCGGGTGGCGCCGAGCACCGAGTCCCGCAGACGGTGTCCCCCCGGCTGGCACCGGGCCCGGCCGCCTGGCACGGCGGGTGCCAGCTGGCACCGTCCCCGCTCCCGTGCCCGCGGCGGGGGGATTCCCTGACGCACGCGGGGCCGCGGGCCAGCACGGGGCGGCACGGGGCGGCACGGGGCGGCACGGGGCGGCCGCGGGGTCCTGGCAGAGCCGGCGCTGTGAGGGGATCAGCGCCACCGAACTGGGATCGCTGCGGCTCCATCCGTCCCCCCGGGAGCCTTGGGGCCCCGGGCCGAGAGCTCCGGTCCAGCTGCCCGTGAGGGGGGCACAGGGGGCACGGGGGGACCGCAGGGGCACGGGGGTACCCCCCTGCAATGGGAACCGTCCCCCTTGCCCCCCTCACCCTAAGTGCACTGCCGACCTCCAGAGCTGTACCCCAAATCCCCTCGCACCCCCACACTGCACCCCCTGCACCCACACTGTTCCCCGTGACCCCCAAAGCGGAGGGACCCCCCTGGCCCCCCATCCCTGCTCCCCCCACTGCACCCCTGCCCTGGGACCCGCACCCCCGCACCAGGAGCCAGCTGCACCCCCAGGCCCGCAGCCAGGCTGGGGACACCCCCATGGCACAGGGGGACCCCGCATCCCGGGGTGTCACAGCGACAGGGCCCCGTTCAGCCCCTGCTGCTCCCGCCCCGCACCGACACCGGGGCCACGCACGGGGTGGGGGTCCCCAAAGGCCACCGGGGGTGTCTGTGCCCTGTCCCCACCCCGCCCCGGGTCCCTGCGGTGTCCCTGCGGGGACACAGGTGCCCCACGGGCGCCGAGACCTCGGCGCGTCCCCGGCACCGTAAACAACCCGTCCGCAAGACAAATGGCTGCAGCAGCAGCAGCGCGGAGCCGCGGCGGCTCCGGGGCTCCAGCGCGGCCCCAGCGCGGCCCCGGCCAGCAGCGCACGGCACCGGCACTGTCCGGGGGCGCGGGGCGGGGGCGGCAGGCCGCCGGTGGGCACCGCCGCACGGCCCCGAGGGACGGCAGCGACACCGCGGGCACCGGAGCCACGGCAGCAACGCCCCTGCCCCACCGAGCCTGGGGGCCCAGTGCAGTGAGGGGAGCACCCAGCACCCCCACACCGGGGCTGGCACCATGGGGAGGAGACCCCTGTGGTGGCACCACTGCACCCCCAGGGCTGGCACCCCCACACCGGGGCTGGTACCATGGGGAGGAGACCCCCGTGGTGGCACCACTGCACCCCCAGGGCCGGCACCCCTGCAGCACCAGAACCCCCCAGACCCAACTCGCTGCCGAGGGTCCCTCCCCATCCCGAGGGACAGCCGGACCCCATGGACTGCCCCTGTCCCGGTGGGGGCTCCCAGAGCCCCCCAGACCCCCACCACACCTCCCCATGGGCCCCACAGAGGGTGCCAAGGGCTGGCAGGGGCAAGGACCCCTCACCACTCCTGGGAACCCCCTGTCCCTCCTCTCCCTGGCAGCACAGGGGCGCTGGTGAGGGGTAAGACCCCCACGCTGCTCAGGGGATGTCGAGGTCTCTGGGCACCCAGGGAAGGCCCCCGGCAGGCGCCCCCTTTCCCCCAGCCCTGTGGCACCCGGCAGGCCGAGCAGCGTCACCCTAACGAGGGCACAACGCGGCTCCAGGGGGGCACCGCGTCCCCCCGTGCCCCAGAGCCCTGGCACCGCACAGTCCGAGGGGCACGGGGCCGCGCCGGGCACAGCCACGCAGCAGGGTGGGGGTGCCAGGGCCGGGGGGGAGCCTCTGCCCCCAGCCCAGCCCACAGGGCACCCGGGGCCACGCCGGCAGCTGGCACCGGCTTTGTTTACTCCAGCACCGGAACCGGGGCCGTGTGCCCGGAGCCGGGACAGCTGCGGTGACAGCCGGGACACCTGGCACTGGCACGGGGCCACGCCGAGGGAAAGCACCGGCACTAGCAAGGCGGGGAGCCAGCCCTGCCCGGGTTCTGCGGGCACAGGGACCGGGGATGGCACCTGCCAGGGTGCTCCACACAACACAGGGACCCGGGATGGCACAGGGACTCCGGGATGGCACCTGCCAGGGCGTTCCACACAACCCCGCGGGGATGGTGGCACTGTGACACCAGCTCAGCCCCCTCCAGGTGACACAGCCCCCTGCATCCCCGTTTGTGGGGATCACTGCACCCCACAACCCCGCACCCACGACACGTGGTGGCTCCCTGGGCCCACCTGGCGGCCACCGTGGCACCAGGAGGGGCTGAGGGCTCACAGGGGGCTGGTGCCCATCTGGAGCCACCAGTGCCAGGCTCGCACCCTGGGGCTGGAGAGCGTTGCGAGCCCGCGGGGCTGCCAGGGTCTGCTGGGTCCCCATGTGTGCCAACAGCCCCTGCCACCCAGCCATGTCCCTGTGCCCACAGACCCTGCCACCCAACCGTGTCCCTGTGCCAACAGCCCCTGCCACCCAGCCGTGTCCCTGTGCCCACAGCCCCTGCCACCCAGCCGGGTCCCTGTGCCCACAGCCCCTGCCACCCAGCCAGGTCCCTGTGCCCACAGCTCCTGCCACCCAGCCGTGTCCCTGTGCCCACAGCCCCTGCCACCCAGCCGTGTCCCTGTGCCCCTGTCCCAGCGTAGGCCTCCGGGGTGTCAGTGCCCCCCTTGCCGCGGTGCCCAGCGCAGCCCCCTGTCCTGCTGTCCCGCTGTCCCCGCTGTCCCCCTATCCCCGCTGTCCCCCTGTCCCGCTGTCCCCCTATCCCCGGTGTCCCTGCTGTCCCCCTGTCCCCGCTGTCCCCCTGTCCGTACCATCCTTGCGGTAGAAGCAGATCTCCACCTTGCGCTCCTCGGCGCCCAGCAGCGCCTGTGCGATCTGGGCGGCGGCGCGGCGCTGCGTGCGGGGCCCGTGCAGGAAGTCGCAGGTGCTGGGCTGCTGCATCACCTCGGCCCGCGAGTAGCCGCAGAGCCGGCAGAAGCCCTCGTTGCAGTAGATCACGGCGCAGTTCTCCACTCGCGCGTTGCCGATGATGAACTTGCGGCCTGCGGGGACAGGGGGGCGCGGGTCAGCCCGGAGCGGGGGTCCCTCCACCCACCCATTCACGCGCGGCTCCGGGTTTCCCAGGGACACCAGGCCGTGAATCATCCTGCTCGCTCCCCAGGGACCCCCCCAGGCTGGTGCCATCACCACCGTGGGGACCCCAGAACCGCTGGGATCCCTGCGTCACAGGGACCCCAGAACCACAGGGACCCAGGGGCTCCCAGCACGGCAGGGACCCCCCAAGAGCAGGGACCCCCCAAGAGCAGGGACCCCCCAAGAGCTACAGACACCTCACAGGAACCCCCAAGAGCTACAGACACCTCTTAGGGACCCCCCCCCAACAGCAGGGAACCCCCAACAGCAGGGACCCTACAACAGCTACAGACACCTCACAGGAACCCCCAAGAGCTACAGACACCTCACAGGGACCCCCAAGAGCAGGGACCCTACAACAGCTACAGACACCTCACAGGAACCCCCAAGAGCTACAGACACCTCACAGGAACCCCCAAGAGCAGGGACTCTGGGACCCCCTCATCACCACAGGGACCCCCACAACTGCAGAGACCCCTCGGGGACACCACTACCACGGGGACCCTGGGACCCCCAGCACCCCACCGTGAGGGCAGCGGCTCAGCCAGGCCAGCCCCCCGAGCACAGCCTGTCCCCAGCAGGTGACACCCCCAGCCCGACCAAGGGGCAGCATCCCCCCCCACATCCCTGCCCTGTCTCCAGCCCGGGGGTGCCCAGGGCCTGACCCCAGAGGAACTCCCCGATTTTCAGTGTCCCGGAGCCCCCGCTCTGCCAGGCCGCCCTGCAGTAGCTGCTGGGCAGTGTGGGGGGCACAGCCAGGGGAACCCCCAGCCCCACAGCAGCCTGAGCGGGTGCTGGGGGCTCCATGCCTCGGGGACTGGGCAAGGCCCAATTCTGGCAGCGCAGAGCCGGGGCTGCCGGGGGTCAGGGCGGGCAGGAACCCCCCGCCAGCCGGGCTGTCCCTGTCACCCCAAGCCCACCCGAGCTGGGGACTCGCCAGGGCGAGCAGGGTCCCTCCTGCCGGGCTGGTTCCCGCCGCCTCAAACCCACGCAGGGCCCCCGTGCCGGGTGCTCCCCGGTGTCTCCCGGTGTCTCCCATCCCCTCCCCCGCGCGGATCCCGCTCGGGCCCCCCCAGCCCCGCTCCCGGTGCCCCCGGCGCCCCTCACTCACTCTGCCCCTCGAACTTGCGGATGATGGTGTCCAGGAAGGTGTTCTGGGGGGCGACGTGCCCCCGCCGCACCGGCATCGTGCCGGGCCCATGGGCAGCGCCGGCGGGGCGGGGGGGCCGGGCCCGGGGTGGCCCCGCGCCGCGGGGGGTCCCGCTGCCCTTGAGCCAAGGACGGCGCCGCTCCGGGGGGCCCCGGCACCGGCACCGGCACCGGGGGGGCCCTCCCGGCCCGCGGCCGGCCCCCGCCCGCCCCGGTGCGGCTGCGCTGCGCGGCCGGGGGGGTCCGGGGCGGGAGCCGGAGGGGGCGGCGGGGCCGAGCCCCCCCGCGCTACCCGCCCGGTGCGCGCCGCGCCATCGGCCTTATTTAGTCACGGAGCGGCCGGGGGGGACCGGGACCCGCCCCGCGCGCTCGCCGCCGCTCGGAACAGGTCGCAACGGCTCGGCTCCGCTCGGAACGGCCGGGCTGAGCCGGGCTCGGCCGGTTCGGTGCGGCGGGGTTCGGCCCGCTCCGCTCCGGTTCGGTTCGGTTCGGGTCGGGTCGGTTCGGCTGGGTCGGCTCGGCCCGGCCCGGTTCGGCTGAGCTCGGGAGGGCTCGGCTGGGTTCGGCCGGGTTCGGCTGTGCTCGGCTGCACTGGGTTCGGCCGGGCTCGGCTCGGCTCGGCCCCGTTCGGCTGCGCTCGGGCGCGGCGCGGCCCGGCTCGGGCGGGCCGAGCTCGGCTCGGTTCGGCTCGGCTCGGTTCGGCTCGGCTCGGCTCGGCTCGGGCTGGTCCCTGCGCTCGGCCCGGCCCGGCCCGGCCCCGCGGGCGCGGCGGGCGCTGCGTGTTGACAGCGGGGCCGGGGCGGGGCCAGCGCGGGCGCAGCCAATGGCCGCGGGGGGGCCCGGGACCCCCGCCCCGCCCCGCCCGGGGGCGCCCAGCGCGCCCTTGGCCACGCCCCGCCTCGGCCACGCCCACCGGCACCGGGCCACGCCCCCTCCCGGATCCCCGCAACGCCCCGCGACCCCCGTGGGACGCTCCGGTCACAGCCACGCTCTACAACGGGGCCGCGCTCCCGGACAGGTGGGACACGGGGACACCGGGACACGGGGACACCGGGATACCGGGACACGGGGACATGGGGACACCTGAGGACACCGGGACACAGGGACACAAGGACATGGGGACACTGGGTCACCAGGACATCGGGACGCTGGGACACACGGACATGGGTACATTTAGACACCAAGATACCAGAATAAAGCACAGTGGGACACCGTGACACTGGGAGAGCTGGATATGGGGACACTGGCCCACCAGGACAGTGGGACACAGGGACAAGGGCCATGTGGGGCAGCAGCAGAGCATCCAGGCGCAGCCCCAGCTGGGTCCTGGGGGAGCCTCCCTGCCCCAGTCCTGCCATCCTGGCCCAGCCTAACCCTCTTCCCAGGCTGGTTCCAGCATCAGCCCCAGACCAGCCCTTGCCCTAGGCCCGATCCCAGCCTAATCCTGATCCCTATCCAACCCTAATTCTAGTCTCTGTCGCAGTCCTAGTTCTGCCCCACTCACAGTCCTGTCCCATCCCAGTCTCACCCCAGACCTCATCCAGTCCCTGTCCTGTCCAGTTGTGGTCCCAGTCCCAGTCTAGTCACAGTCCCGGTTAAATCCTAATCCCAGTCTCCTTTCTAGGCCAGACCCAGTGCAGTCTGGTCCCTGTACCAGTCTCTACTCAGTCCAAATCTCAGTTCCAGTCCAGTCCAAGTCCCAGTCCCAGTTCAAACCCCAGCCCTGTCCACTTCCAGACCAGCCCAGTTCCTTCACAGACCAGTGCAATCCCAGTTCACTCCCAGTCCGTTTCTGGCCCAGGCCCGATCCCAGTCGCAGTCAGAGATCAGCCCCAGCCCAGTCTGGGTCTCAGCTCTGTCCCAGTCCTGACCAATCCCAGTCCCAGCCACGGTTCTGGTCCCGGTGCCGATCCCAGTCCCATGTCAGCCCAATCCGGTCCCAGTTCTGTTCCAGCCCTGGTGTCGGTCCCGGTCAGAGCCCCGTCCAGCCCCGGTTCCGTACCGGTTCCGCGCCGTTCCAGCCCGGTCCCGGTGCCGGTTGCGGTGCCGGTTCCACGCCGTTCCAGCCCCGGTTCCGGTGCCTGTTCCGCGCCGTTCCAGCCCGGTCCCGGTCTCCTCCCAGCCCGGCGCTGCCCGGGATGCTCCCGGTCTCTGTCCCAGGTGCTGAAAATGGCTCCGCCCCGGGGCTGCGACCGCCGGGACCGGCCGGGGTGACCGGACCCGAACGGACCAACCGGACCCGAGCGGGCCCGAACAGACCGACGGAACCGGCTGGGCTGGCTCCGCCAACCGGACCCGACCGGATCCAGCCAGTCCCGACCCGACCGGCTGGACCGACCGGCTGCGAGCGGCTCCCAGTGGCCTCAAACGGACCCGAACGGACCCGAGCGGGCGTGAATGGACCCGAACGGACCGACCGGGACCGACCGGACCCGAACGGGCGTGAATGGACCCGAACGGACCGACCGGGACCGACCGGACCGACCGGACACAAATGGATCCACTGGACTGACCAGACCGAGCAAGTCTGACCAGACGTGACCGGACAGAGCAGAACAAACGGGGCTGAGCCGAGCCGGGCGGGAGTCTGTGGGGTACGGGGGGCTGTGGGGTACGGGGGGCTCTGTGGGGTACGGAGGGGTTTGTGGGGTGAGGAGGGGTTTGTGGGGTGCGGGAGGCTGTGGGGTACGGGGGATCTGTGAGGTTCGGGGGGCTGTGAGGTACGGGGGGGTCTGTGAGGCACGGGGGGTCTGTGGGGTGCGGGGGTCTTTGGGGTGTGGGAGGGCTGTGGGGTGCGGGAGGGCTGTGGGGTACGGGGGTCTTTGGGGTGCGGGGGGCTGTGGGGTACGGGGGGTCTGTGGGGTATGGGGGGTCTGCGAGGTAGGGGGGTCTGCGAGGTACGGGGGGCTGTGGGGTACGGGGGTCTGTGGGGTGCGGGGGTCTTTGGGGTGCGGGAGGGCTGTGGGGTGCGGGGGGCTGTGGGGTGCGGGGGTGCTGTGGGGTACGGGGGTCTGTGAGGTGCGGGGGTCTGTGGGATGAGGGGGTCTGTGAGGTGCGGGGGTGCTGTGGGGTGCGGGGGTCTGTGGGGTGCGGGGGTGCTGTGGGGTGCGGGGGGCGTTGTGGGATACGGAGGGACTGTAGGGTCTGTGGGGTACTGGGGGGCTCTGGGGCTGGACGAGGCCGAGGCACGGGGGACGCTGTGGATTTGGAGGGGCTGTGGGGCGGGGGGAGCTGGGGGGGTCAAGGCCTGACCCCCATCACCCCCGCCCACCCGTGACCGAGTCCCGCCCCCGGGCAGGGCGGGCGATCCGGTCGGTGGGCGCTCCGCCGTGACCGACAGGCCCGGCCCGCCCCGCGGTGATGGACCCGCGCCCCGCGTGGGTCCCCGCGGCGCCCCGGGCCCGGCCGTGCCCCCGCGCCGTGCCCCGGTGCCGCCCCGCGGTGCCCCCGCCCCGCTCTCCCCCGCAGGAAGGAACCGCCGGGCCGGCACCGGGCGCGGTTTCCCGTCGCTGCGTGAGCCGCGGGCTGCGCCCCTCCGCGGCCTCCGGGGGTCTCACCCGCCGGGATTCGGGGGACCCGGTACCCCCCGCACCCCCGCACCCCAACAGCGCCCCCGTCCCGGACCCCCACCCCCCGCGACCCCCGCGACCCCCGCCCCGCTCCGGGGTCACCGCAGGACCCTCCCCGCCCGCAGCTGGGGTGAGCCCCCCCCACCCCGCGCGGGTTCCCAGGGCCCCCCGAGGGTCGCGAGGTGCAGCCCCCCCCCGGCATGGCTTCCCCAGGGACGCTGACCCGGGGGTCCCCGCAGCGCCCAGCGCGTCAATGGCCGGAACTGGGTGGAAGCAGCGGGAAGTGGGGGGGTCCCGCAGGACATCCGCCCCACGGCCGGGGGGCTGGGGGCGGCCCGGGAGCCCCCCGAGGCACCCGATCGCCCGGTGAAAAGGTGAGAGGAGGGTACAGTGTCCTACAGCGGCCAGGGTGGGGGTCCCTGCCACCACCGCGGCCCCCCAGGTGCTGCTGTGTGTCCCCCATGAGCGCTGTGTCCTCCCTGTGGTGCCATCGCACGCCACGTGTGAGTCCCCAGTTCCATGTCCCCATGGGTGCCGTGTCCTCTTCAGTGCTGTGTCCCCCCCTAGGTGCCATGTGTCCCCCAGGGCCATATATCCCCCCCAGTGCCATATATCCCCCCCAGCTCCATATATCCCCCCCCAGTTCCATATATCCCCCCAGTGCCATATATCCCCCCCAGTGCCATATATCCCCCCAGTTCCATATATCCCCCTCAGTTCCATATATCCCCCCCAGCTCCATATATCCCCCCAGTTCCATATATCCCCCCAGCTCCATATATCCCCCCAAGGGCCATATATCCCCCCCAGCTCCATATATTCCCCCAGTTCCATATATCCCCCCCAGCTCCATATAGTCCCCCAGTTCCATATATCCCCCCCAGCTCCATATATCCCCCCCAGTTCCATGTCCCCCCCAGGGCTGTGTCCCACCCGGGTGCCATGTGTGTTCCCAAGCCCCCCCAAGGCCATGTCCCCTCTCCGGGTGCCATCGCTCCCTCCCCACGGCCACATGCCGGGGCCCGCGGGGCAGATCGGGCTCCAGTGCCCCCGCGGGGTTCCCGGTGTGTCCCGGTGCCGGTGACGGTGGCGATGTCGGTGGCGGTGCCCATTGTGTGCGGGGCGGGGGCGTCGCGGCCTCGTCACCACTTCCCCGGGCGGTAGGAAGCGGGAAGCGGCCGCTCCCGGCTCAGAGGGGCCGCGATGGGGAACCTGCCGGGGGTCCTGCCCGGAGCCCCCCGCGCCTGCCCCGGCCTCGGCCTCTGCTCGCGCCCGCGCGGCCCCGCACCCGAGGACCCCCCCGGCCCCGCCGCGCCCGCCGCCGTCACCGAGCCCCCCAGGTAGGAGCCCGGGCGGGACGGGGAGAGCGGGCTGGGAAGGACGGACGGGGCGGCGGGGCACCGGCACTCACCTGCCGCAGCCCCGAGCCTCGGCGGGGACCCCTCCTCGCTCGCGGGCACCTTCGCACATGGCCCGAGCCCACCGGAGACGTGTCCCGGCCGTGGGGGTGGAGGTGTCCCCGCTGTAGGGGTGTCCCGGCCGCGGAGGTGTCCCCGCCATGGAGGTGTCCCGGCCGCGGAGGTGTCCCCACGGTGGAGGTGTCCCCACGGTGGAGGAGTCCCCGCCATGGAGGTGTCCCCGATTCCCCGATGGGGTGGCTGGCGTGGGGCACTGGGGCAGAACACGGAGCCCGCCGGCGGCAGAGCGCTGTGCCCGCTGCCCGTGGCGTCGTGACAGTGTCCCCTGTCCCACGGCATGGCCCGGGGACCCGCGGGGCTGCGCTGGCCCGAGCGGCATCTGGGGGCCCATGGGGGACATTTGGGGAGGGGTCTGTGGGGCGCAGTGGGGATGGAGGCGCGGGGACCCCACGCCTCGGAGGGGCTTGGAAGGGACGGGCATGGGCCGGGGGCGTGTCGTGTCCCCCCCCCGCGGTGGCCCGGAGCCCGCTGTGACTCATGGCCATTGTTCCACTCACACGAGGGCCAGGAACGCCCCGCGCCCCCTCCGCCCTCTGACCCCTCAACTCCTGACCCCTCCGACTCAGACCCCATATCCTGATCCCCCATTTCGGCACTTCCCAGCTCAGCCCCCATCCCCTGATCCCCGCACCCCCTGACCCCCCCAGCTCAGCCCCCCATATCCTGATCGCCCATCCCCTGATCCCCACTGAGACAGAGTAAAAATCTGTCTATATCTCCGCAAAACACCACATCCCCTGATCCCACATCCCCTGATCCCCCGTCCCCTGATCCCCTGCCCCCTGATCCCCACATCCCCTGATCCCCGCACCCCCTGATCCCCCATCCCCTGATCCCTGCACCCCCTGACGCCCCCAGCTCAGCCCCCCAGCCTGTGTCCCCCGCTCCGAGGCCCCCCCATCCTCTGAGCCTCCCCATCGCCTGCCCTCCATCCCCTGCCGCTCCCCATCCCCCGGGGGTGCATCGGGACCCCCAGCAGCAGCAGATGTTGGGGGAGCCCCTGGCCCTGCCCCGCTGTCCCCGCCACAGCCCGGGCCCGCTCCCCTCCCCGGTGCCCTCCTGTCCCGCACCGAGGGGTCCCGGTGCCCGAGCCGCGGGAGCAAGTACGGAGGGGGGCACGCGTTGTTCCCCAAGCCCCCCGGGACCCCCGGCTGGGCCCCCCGTGCCCGGGCAGCTCTCAGGGGTGCCCCGTGTCCCCCCCCAGCCCGGTGCCCTCTTCCCCGGCCGAGCCGCCCCGCTTCGCCCGCCTGAAGAACTGGGAGACCGGGAGCATCAGCTACGACACGCTCTGTGCCACGGCCGGGCAGGTACGGGCGGGGGAGCGGCTGGGGGGCACGGGAGAGGGGGCACGGGAGAGGGGGCATGGGCATGGAGGGCACGGGGGCACGGGGGCACGGGGGCACGGGAGTGGGGTGTGCGGCTGGGGGGCACAGGAGCGGGGACATGGGCGCGGGGGCATAGGGGCACGGGAGTGGTGGCACGGGAGTGGGGGAACGGGAACCGGGACATGGGCATGGGAGGCATGGGGGCACGGGAGTGGGGACACGGGCACGGGGACACGGGAGCAGCGTGTAAGGCTGAAGGGAAAAGGCGGCCGGAGGGCAGGGAGAGCGGCAGGGGATGGCGGTGCAGGTTGGATTTGCAGACGGGGGGCTGCAGGACAGGAGGCAGATGGGGGGCAGTCAGCGGCAGGGCGGGGGTGCGGGTTTGTGGGTGACAGGCGTGGGCGGGGCAGGGTGCGGGAGGGGACACAGGGACGGGGGCTCACCCGGTGCCCCCAGGAGCTGCCCTGCTCGGGGCTGCGCTGCCTGGGCTCGCTGGTGCTGCCGCGGCCGCTGCCCGCGCCCACCCCCGAGGGGACGCGACCGCCCGAGGAGCTGCTGGAGCTGGCCCGGGACTTCATCACCCAGTACTACGTGTCCCTGCGGCGGTGAGCGCGGGCGGGACCCCGCAGCGGGCACGGGCACCCCCAGAGCGGGCACGGGCACACACAGCCCGGCCCCAGCCCTGCCCCATCTCCGCCCCAGAGCACCCCACAGCCTGGACCTCCCCTGAGCCTGGGCACACCACAGCCCCACCCCTGCCCAAAACACCTCCATATCCCTATCCTTGTGCTGGGACACCCCCAAACCCACCCCACAGCCCCAGGGCACCCCACAGCCCCACCCCTGCCCAAAACACCTCCCATCCCTATCCCTGTCCTGGGACACCCCCAAACCCACCCCTGCCGCAGAGCACCCCCAGCCCCATCGCTGCCCAGGGCACTCCACATCCCCACCTGCAGGCCAGGGTACCCCCCCCATAGCTCCCGAGGTGCCCTGGGGTGCCCCACGTCCCCACCTCTCCCCCAAAGCACCCCCAGATCCCCCATCCCTGCCTGGGCCATCCCGTATCCCCATCCTCACCCCAGAGCACCCACACCCGGGTCACCGCTCGGCCCCCCGACCCCCGGGGGTGCCCGCGTCTAGGGGTGCCGGGGGTGCTCCCGGCGGGTGCTGAGGGTGCCCCCGCAGGGAGAACTCGGCGGCGCACACGCAGCGGCTGCGGGAGGTGGCGGCGGACATCGCGGCCTCGGGCTCGTACCGGCTGCGGGAGCCCGAGCTGGCCTTCGGCGCCAAGCAGGCCTGGCGGAACGCGGCGCGCTGCGTGGGCCGCATCCAGTGGAACAAGCTGCAGGTGCGGGAGCCTCGGCCAGCGCAGCCACGGGGACAGCGCGCGCCTCAAACCCCCGGGGACACCTCAAACCCCCGGGGACACCGCACACATCAGCCTCCCGGGGACACCGCGCACCTCAAACCCCTGGGGACACCTCTCACATCAAACCCCCGGGGACACCAAAGCAGAGACAGCCCAACTCACCCCACCCCAGCTCACCCCACAGGCGCCAACACCCCCATGGTCACCCCCACACCGCGGGGACCCCCATCCCAAGTCCCGTGTCCCGTTGTGACCCCCGCCCCACCCCACGGAGACCCTGCCTCGCACCTGTAGCCCGGGACCCTGACTCATGGAACCCCATCCTACGGGACCCCGGTTCCACAGGGAGCTCCCGCCCCTACAAAGACCCCACGGCGCCCCCGCCCCATGGGGACCCCTCCCAAAGGATGGGAGCCGCAGATTCCTCCCAGGGGGCTCTCCCATCCCAGCTGTCCCCCACCCCTGTCCCCCGCAGGTGTTCGATGCCCGGGACTGCGCGGGGCTGCCGGAGATGTTCAGCCTCCTCTGCTCGCACATCCAGTTCGCCACCAACCGCGGCAACATCCGGTGAGCGTCCCCCGGCCCCTCCCGGCCCCCCCGGCCCCCGCGGCCGCAGGGTGTCCCTGACGGCCCCCCCGGCCCCCCCAGGTCCGCCATCACCATCTTCCCCCCGCGGGCTCCGGGCCGCGGCGATTTCCGCATCTGGAACCCGCAGCTGATCCGCTACGCGGGCTACCGGCAGCCCGACGGCTCCGTGATGGGAGACCCTGCCAACGTGGACATCACCGAGGTGGGGGCACCCCTGCGCCCGCAGAACCCCTCAGCGCCTCCTCACCCTCCTCTCTTCCCTCTCCATCCCCACCTCAGTGCTCCCTGCACGCCGCCCTCCATTCCCACTCCATCTCTCCCTTCTCCCCCCTCATACTGCTCCATCCCCCTCCATCCCCCCATCCCTTCATCTCCCCCCAATCCCCGCGCCCCCAACACCTCCTGGAGCCCTCCCTGACGCTGTCCCCCCCCAGCTCTGCATCCAACACGGCTGGACCCCCGGCGGGGGCCGCTTCGACGTGCTGCCGCTGCTGCTGCAGGGCCCCGACGAGTCCCCCGAGCTGTTCCCGCTGCCGCCGGAGCTGGTGCTCGAGGTGCCGCTGCACCACCCCACGTGAGTGCGGCTGCGACCCCCGGAACCCCCCGGGCCGAGGGACTGCCCCGGTGACCGGGCTGGGGTCCCAGGGGTCACCCTTGGGGAGGGGATGGAGAGGGGATGAAGTGGGGATGAGGGTGGGGATGAGGGTGGGGATGAGGTTGGGGATGAGGGTGGGGATGAGGGTGGAGAAGAGCGCTGGGGACAGGGAGCAACTGTGGGGTCTGGAGAGGGGAAGGAGGGGGGGACAAGGATGGGACACCGTGCTGGGGACGCGGAACAGCCGCGGGGCTTGGAGAGGGGATGGAGGATGGGACGCCGCGCTGGGGACAGGGAGCAGCCGCGGGTCCGATCCCGTCCCTGACGGGCACTGGAAAGCCGGCTCCTTCCCGGGCTGGGGTACCGGGTTGTTGAGCCCCTCCTGGGCCGGATGCTGGAGTACCGGGGTGCTGATCCCCCCTGAGGAGCCGTGGGTGTGTGACCCTCCCCGGGCGGGGTGCGGGGATGGGACGCAGGCCGGGTGCCCGCTCGGGGGGCTCCGGGGCAGCGTGGGTGTGCGGGAAACCTGACCGTGCCCGCAGGCTGGAGTGGTTCTCGGAGCTGGGGCTGCGCTGGCACGCCCTGCCGGCCGTGGCCAACCTGCTGCTGGAGATCGGGGGGCTCGAGTTCCCCGCCGCGCCCTTCAACGGCTGGTACATGGGCACCGAGATCGGCTCCCGCAACCTCTGCGACCGACACCGCTACGACGTGCTACCCGTGAGCCGCGCGGGGACCGCGGGGCTGCGCTGGGACCCCGGGGCTGCGCTGGGACCCCGGGGCTGTGCTGGGACCCCTGGGATGGCTCT